AATCAGCACAATTTTGTGTTGCTTCGTTTAGATCTAATTTAGAAACTATATCATTTTCTATACTGATTAATGCTAAATTGTTAAGACGTTCATCTGTCATTGTTGATCTCAAGTACGTTTTTATTGACTTCAATTTGCTGAAACTTTTCTAGCAGCTTGCAGTAGTTACACGAATTGTCATCATAATTCTTAAAGCGACCCATAAGTTTGGTAAGGTATCTTGTAATTTGTTATCTTTAATAAATGTTAAGATTTCCAATGGACAGCTATCTTTTTTAGAGTATAATGATCTTACAATCTCAATTTCATTACACAAATCTATACCATTCAAATCGCACTCTGTCTTATCTTTATTCTGATCGTTAAGTTTTAAATGTAGATCCTTACACAATATCCTAATATAGGAGTAGATCCTTATATAACAGAATATTCTGCCATGGATAATTTAGTCATTTAGCTATAATATTGTCAATACTCAATTTGAATAACTATTACGCTAAAATTTTTAAAATATTTGTATATTAAAAGCGCCCCTAAAAAAGTAGCGCCCCGGGCAACTGCCCGGTTCGCCCGTATCTTGGGCCTGCACTGCATGTAGTATCCAAAAATAGAACAAAAATAATTTACGAAAAATAATAAATACTCGTATTTTTAAACCATTATGATGCGATAAGAGAATTTAATGTTGCATGACAACAAAACACCTAGAGAATACTTGTATTTTAAAAACAAAATTATTCCAATAAACCGAAAGTATTCAAATATTCAATGTTAATAAATTTTTATCCTTTAAACTCTTTTTGCTCATTAATTGTATATATTCGTGTGAGACCCAATTATACCAAAATTTAATCACTCATGTATGTAATGACCTAAAGAGCCTTCAACAATACTTAGCACCCTGGGCTATTAAGTCCCCGTCCATCACTATTTAAGGTGCCTATGCTAGAATAAAAATTAAAAAAAGGTGAGGGCCTCGGCAGCGTTCGCTGCCTCGCTGCCCTGGCCAGGCGGACACTGTGTGTATGATACTCATTTGATGTTAATAAATTATGTAATAAATAGATGTCATCTGTATTTAATAATTAAATTTGATGAAATTGACGTGAGGCGTTGTTATATAGAAGGAAAAAAAATAACTGAACATCAATGTAAATTAAGTTTATGTTGGGATGTGTTTTTTAATTCATTTTTTTTAGGATTTTCGCAGACAATGCAAGTTAAAAACAGAATCAAGTTATACCTATATTTAACAATTTAAAAAAAATAAAAACATTGTCTATTATAGTTCTTACCCAATCATATTATTGTTTCCAGTTTGTTAGTTGTTACATATAATTGAGACGATGCATCCGATTGTCTTTCAAATATAGGTATGTACTAGGTAGGTGTTTGGTAAGGATGTTTTAGTGTATTAACCAACTATCGATTTTTGCAAATAGGTACAAAAAAAGCTTTTAACTGTTGATTTTTCAAATATTGAATATTATCATACATTATTTTTAAAATATATTTGATCAGGAAATTCGAATAATAAGGTGGGAGGCTATATTTTTCTATTAACAATTTCTCGAATTTTTTTTATCCAGTTAAGGTTTGATAATACGATACTAAAAATTATATCATTTTTTACACTTTTGGATATTAAGACAGTATGTGGCGTAATTTTTGTTTTTAATAGGAGGGGGCAAAAGTTTATAGTTTCTCTTGGAAGCTTTAATATTTTTCTAAGGGTAACCCAACCAACCTCTAGGGGGGCCAGACACATGATTGCACCTTCTGGTAAAACATAATTAAACGATCGAAATTTTTTAAATAGGTTTTTCAAAATCATGAATAAATTTAAGAGTGATCGTTTTGTTTCTGAAATGTCTATAGTATCATCGTCTATATATTTGAACTAAAAAACTATAAATGTTAATTATTATTTTGGACAATAGTTGTCTAGTGATTACTCAATATTAATATACATCCCCAAAACAAGAAAACATACGAGTATAGGTATGTTATTTCACCTACGACTGGCCCAACAATTGGACTGCTTTTATAATTAGACATGTGCCCACCTTGTTCTTCTTTCAAATTACGCCATCGTATTAAGTATAATAGATGTATCCGTATAAATTATATACAAATATAACACATCCAAAGACCCCCTCCCAGCACCCTTATGGGAATCAATGAAAATAATGAAGTTACGAAGGAACCATTTGAATGTATTTGGGCCTTGGACATATAGAAATTTAGATTGACTACACACTATAATACTATATAATGAATTGTTATTAATTTTACATACATTTCTTTTAAAAATGTTACTGTTTTATCTTTTCCATAAGAATATAATATAATATATATATATATATATATATAAATTATTAAATCATTAACACAATACTATGCATTTATATTTGAAATGTTTGTTTTGTTTAAAGCCAAGCTTAGTGATGTACTGATGTCACTCTGCTGTACAGTAGATTACAAGTGGATCACTATATGGATGGTGTTAAATTTGAATTCAATAATATCAAATCATTGTATACGAAAATATATTTTGAGCAAACACGGCCAGCCTATACTATGACTTAGTAATTCAGTATATTTGTTTATGTTATTGTGATTGAAGTAATTTATTTTACTATTAATTATTACAGTAGGTTAAATTTATTTTTGCCAAAAATATTACATTTGAAAAGTCATTGTGTGTATAAAATATAATAATATACTAAACATTTTTCAAGAAGCTATTTTTTAATTATAACAAAATAACTCAAATCATTATTTTTGGTTATTTAATATTATGTAATTTCGTCCAAATTTGAACATAAAATAACTATAAAAAAAAATGTATTCATATATTTTTTTAGATTTATTGGTAACAAAAGTAACTACTTGTGTAGATGTATGCAACTTACTTGTTTATTTAAATTTTTGGTCCTTAGCTAGAAAAGTTGAATATTTTATAAATAGTAAACTACAAATTAATTTGTACATTCTCAATTTGATAAATGTTTTTAAACTCTGAACTTTAAATGCTTATAAAACAAAATCGTACATGTATTTTTAATATTTTTTAACTGATATTGGAACAATATATCAGGAGCCTTATATTAAAATGTTTAAGCTTTTTGACCCAACAAATAATTTTATTGACATTTATGAAAAAAAAAAACTAAAACAATTTAAAATTAAAAATGTTCGTAAACCGTTCAAAATGAGTCGAAATGTTTTGATAGTGTATTTAAGTATATGAATTTATTAAATAAATATATGGGGTAAATTTCAGGTATTTTTAGTTATTCGCTTTTGAAGAACAGCAAAATAACAAAATTGCTGAATGAGAAATCGAGTCAAAAAAATTATTGTGGATTTACACACGTTTTTTTTTTGTAATTTCCTCTAACAATAAGATAGAGGAATCTAGTATTTTATTTACAAAAAATACGAAATTTTTTTATCGATATTAGCTTTAAAGGACAAATAATAATCGAAAATTGCATATGCCCATAAATAGTTCAACCATGTCAATATATTTTGCAAATTGTATGGTGTACGTACAAACTGGATATTAATATTCAGTGAACATATTTTTATGTATCTACGATATTTTTTTTCAGAGTTACATCAGAAACTAAAATCGATTTTGTCAAAAATCAGTTTTCCATAAAAATTCTCGGTTTCCTTAAATTTAGATTCTGAGTGGAGCGATGAAATGTATTGATTTTACAATAATGTGTTTTTATATTTATTTATTTTTTTTTTTTGTGTCTGTTATCACAGTTTCTTGCAGTAAAAGTGCTTCGATTTTCTTCAACAGCAACTTTTCTGGTAGAAAAAATTTAAAATCCAATAGCTTTCAAAAGCAACAGGAAAAACAAACAAAAATTAGTTTTTGAAAAATCGATTTTGATTTTTAGTGTAACTCTAACAATAATGACTGTAGATACATGACATTTTCACTGAATATTTATGTAAGTATTTTCTATATACCATAACATTTTCAAAATATTTTGATTTGTGTTGAACTATTTAAAGGCAAATGAAATTTTCAATTATTATTTGTTTTTTAAACCCAAGTCAACAAAAAAATTTTCGCTCGGTCAAAAAACTTGAAAGTGTAATACAACGTTCCATACAAGTTTTTTCCATAACTAAGAAATCTAAAAAATATAGGAATACACTTATTTTTTACAGACATTTTAAGTTAAAATTTGGACAAGATTGCATATTAATAGAAAGAATAATGGTTATAATTTTGTTGTAACTTGGTCCCAAAACAGTCCAATTTTACATAGGTATATTAGCATTTTTCCAGCATCACTGATAATTTAAGAATAATATAAATTCGACTTACCGGCTATCATATTAATAATAAGTAATAACCATATAAAATATCCTAAACTGAAGTACCATCTCCGCTCAGAATCGTATTCGTATACAATGATATGATATCATTAAATTCAAATTTAATACTATCCATTACAGCGACCTCTTAGACACTTAATGTACAGCAGAGCGACATCCACTAACCCGCTTTTTTTTTGTTTGTTTTTCCTGAAATATTTTACTTTTTACCCGACAGAGTACCAACTTGGTGCATTTTCCTACCGGAAAAGATGTTGTTGAAGAAAATCGAAGCACTTTTAATGTCACATAAGGTGATGATAGATACACAAAAAACACACATCGTTGTAAAATCAATATATTCATCGCTTCGCTCAGAATCTAAAATGCTGTATAATGGTATAATCACTATAGAGTATAGGTATTATACAATAATGCAAAGTCATAGTATTTATAAATCGCATGTACATAAATACTTCGAGCATAATGTATTAATATATGTATATTATATTTATGGGTTTTTTCAAAATAGACTTAAATATTACTACTTTTATCGTTAAACGCAAAAAATAAAAATAAGACATCAAACTAAAAACCAAATTTATAAGCTATATAAAAAATTGTATTGAAAAAAAGGTATAACGAGTTTAACTTACCTCCCCTCCACATGGTGTACGACTATTTAAGCCAAGTATGAGAACTATATAAATTATGAAAGGCATCCCTCCACTTATTTTGAGCCACTTATATTAATGTATACGTCTGAAGGTTTGGCTATAAGATTTTTTGTTAAAACTGAATATAATATAAATGTCAACTTTATACAATATAAAATTATGTAAATTATAAATTATTTTTGGTACATATTCATAGTATATTATATTATATAATGATTATAATATGACAATTGTGGTTATTGTTATTGGTATTGCAACGGTTAACGACTATAACGCGGAATCAAGTCATCCCGACTAACGTGTTATACATATTTTATCATCCAATAAAAACAGTAGTTGTTGTTGTTCGGCACGTGTCCGGCCGGTGGCTGTCTTCCCAGGGGAGTTGGCGGAACGCCGAAAACGTGTCGACGTGTCGTCGTCAATATCCGAAGTAAAAAATATACACATCTATATACATAGTGAAACCTCCTCCCTGTAGACACACACACACGCACACGTCATCAATATAACATTAGTATCTGCAGTGTTATAATCGGAATCATCATCATCATCACGTTCTAGAGGAGTGAGATGTTAAATTATTCACAGAAGTTATAATATGAAAAAACTCGGAAATCGATAGTGCGCATACACACACACGCTCACATTATTTGTTCCTCGTATACGTTATACATATTCAATTACAATAAATATTATTTCGGGTTATGCATTTAAATCACCCAACTTTAAAATACATTTTACATTCTGAAGGGGCTCAGGGGTGATAGCGCAGATTTCACAACACTCCATTCTGTTTGTTTTTTGAAAACAATTTTTGACTGTGTTGAAAACTCTATGGCTAAAATGTGAATTTGCGAATTATTTAAGCTATAATTTAACAATAATTCAAATTATATTTTATAATTAATGAAGATAAGACTTAACAACAATATTACTCATGGACTATGATTAATTTCTCAAAATAGTTTTTTCTATTATAGTAATGTTGTATTTATTTGAACACTGATAATACATCAATAGTTATATTGATAGTTTATATATTGTATGTTTATTTAAAATATATCTATTTTAAATTATAGATATAATCTTAATAAACTTAAGTCATTTGTGGTTAATCACTTCAATAGTCTTAGAAAAAGTTTATTTTACCTGTATGCGTGGTTTCAACAAAAAATGTTGGGGTGAATTGATGTTGGTTAAATTTTTTCCTTTATAGCAATTATTCTCGTAAATTATAATCACCATCATAAGGTTCTCTCAAATAGGTATACCTATTTGAAATATTGAAGATACCAGTGGTCCATTCAATTCTTTTATCAGACTTACATAATAATTTATTATTAATTAGATACCATGTATATGTAGTATGTATAATTTATGTAAATTACAACTATAGATAAGTTTCTAACCTTAAAAAAAGTAATTCACACATAACACAGAGTACCTAGTATGTATTACAATTAATTAAAGTTGGATTTCCCATAATAGATTACATTTTAAATGTTTTACTATACCTACATAATATGCCTAAGTAGCATGTGTAATATAATATTCATACAAGTATATAGAGTACGGAGTTGTAAAAATTAAAGTTGTATACATATTATATCTGCAACTGTAATTCTTGCAGAACGTCAGTTATCTTATTTTATAATACATTTGAAAAATTAGCCAATAATTAAATTACAAATATATATAGATTATAACTTATTATTATTCGTGGAGCAATCATTATATTATATTTAGATAATTCGTTTAGTTACAATAATTAAACACATAATTATCCTACTGACGTACAAAATATATGTTCAGATTAACCGTTTATTTTACTTCTAGTTACATTTTAAGCAATTAAAAATAGCAGTGTTAGTATATCACATATTGTTTGAATGTGAAACTCGTATTTATGCGGTGTATACAAGGAATTTTTTCACCCATTCGAATTATAGTATTATATAGTAGAGACATTTGTCCTAGATTGCGTGCAATTTATTTTTCGATTATTTAAATTAAAAATCATAAACTAAACAAAGTAATTCAGTTTTGAATTTGAATTAATTATACTGTAATGTTATTTGTATTTTTAGATGGATTTTTTACCTTGTGGTATGTACTCAATGGCTGATTCGACGCTTCCAGACTCCATGGACGGACACAGTTCACATACGAAAAAAAGGTGAGTACCTAAAACACACGACTTATAAGCAAAATAAAACAAATTTGCAATGAGTAAAACAAAATTTAAAAATATCAACAACCGTCATAAAAATCGATGATTTTCTAGCCGCGAAAAGAGTACGGTGACTGGAATGGCCACTTTGACCAGGGAAGAACGGCGGAGAAGACGGCGGGCCACCCAAAAATATAGAATGGCTCATGCTACACGCGAACGAGTCAGAGTTGAGGCGTTTAACGTAGCATTTGGCGAATTGAGGAAACTTTTGCCCACGATACCGCCTGACAAGAAATTGTCGAAAATCGAAATATTAAGACTCGCCATATGCTACATCATGTATTTAAATCAATTTTTGGAAACGTAAATTGTTGATGATTGAAAACTTGTTGACCATCTAGAATTAGGTTTAGGACTTTAGGTACATAATATATATTACAATGTAGGCACTATAAATCTCCGAGAGCTGAATACAAAGTATTATAATATTATAATGATTATCCACCTAGTCAACAATGATTCGATATAGTTATCAACTCATACTCTTGCAACAGCTATAACACGAGTAGGTTTTATATATATAATATGTAATAATCATCAATAATATTTAGATTTTATAAAATTAAATCAATATATTATATTATCATATTGTATTATACAATACGCTGTTTTATTTTGACAAAAAAAAATAAAATTCTTCCAACATTTTCGTTTTTTACTTACTTCATCAAAGATATTATTATAATATTGTATAATGTACCAATGTGATTGTGCTTAAACTTTATTGTTGACTTCGGTTCTTTATGACACAATGTCATCAATGTTTTTATGATAACATTATACGATTTGTTTATTTTGTCCATATTCAAATCTATTATGATCGATTTTTTATTGTAATATATATATATTTTTTAATAAACATGTAAATTATTATAATTAAATCTTATGTAAAAAAAAAGAATAGGTACGTAGTATACATACTATAATATTATAGGTAGTCTGTAAATAAATTGCAATCATAGGCGTGCCAGGTTACCCTGCAGGCAATGGCCAGACATGCGAATTTATTTTGATTCAAAACTTTTTTTTAGAATTTTTTTTTATTTATTGGTTGCACTAATTTCATACAAGGATAAAGAAACTTCCAAAAAGAATTACTCTTGGTCAAATTTGCCAAATTGTTTAAAACTCACCTATGATTATATACAGGTTAAAGTCAGTTCCGCTACTCGCATAGGAACCTATAGTATAATATTATGATTACCTAAACGTAGAGCCAACAATAAAATATGTTTTTATCAAACTTATAGGCTGAATAAGTGCAATATGACTTATTGATAAACATTGTTGTTTTAACACAAACATTTAATTTAATTTTCCTACCTACTTTATAATATAATATATATACTATATAGATAATAAGAATCTTTACTATAATTTTTATTCCATGTATATATAAATCGAACTTATAAATTATTATTATTATATACACATTAAATGTATAATTAAATAATATATTATGTATTCAAAAGCTTTATATTATATTATATAAATATTTTATTAATCATTACCATTATATTGTGTGCGTTCAAATAATTAACAATACCATAAGATACGCATTCAATATTGTATTATTATAATAACACATGATATTAAAATATTGCAATAGCCAATACCGGTTAAAAAATTGAATCGTACTACATTTTTTTTTGTTTACGGCCTTAAAGGCCAAACAGATCGTATTATTTACTTGACGAATATTTTTGATGTTATAAACCTAATAAATGATAAGAAACTATACGTCTATACATGTAATAATAAGTTATTTTAAATTTTTGCATATTATATTATATCCATACACGTTTATTATATTAATGTTTACAATTTTAATACCGAGTTGATTTGATTTGTGCGATTTGTTTGAACATGATTGAAATCATCCATAACTTAAATGTTATTCCATAGGTAATGTCTTATTGCATATCACGCACGCACATTATATACATCGATGTAGCACGTCACTACGTAAGTATTGTGACACGCGTTCGTAAACATATACATATATCTATATATAATATAAATATATTACAGTATGAATTTATTATTTTCCAAATTTCTGTTCGACTTTACTTCGTTTATAAGTTATCTGCTCTCCTTCTTGCCGAGGTTTTAATAAAATTAGCTTTCTCGTGACAATATCATAACAATATTTTTATTATTTTATAATATTGTGTACTGTATCTAATTTATTATAAGGTACACCTATAATATCATTAATTTATTTTACCTTTACAAAATTATCTTGTCGCTTATATTATGTCTCTGGATTTCTTAGGATAAACAGTTTATTCCTGTAAACTATTATACTGTATAAATGCAATTATCGAGTTTTAATACGTTTTTCTGAACGGCTAATAATAATAAAAAATAAAAACGAAAGGGAAAAAGAGTATTTACAATCCGACGAACTCCAGCCCGTACGAGCAATGCCGTCTTATATTTGTTTCGATAAAACGTTCGCCGGGAATCGTATAATACAATAACATAATATTATACTCGAACATTGGATAAATAAAGTTAAATTGCGAGGGGCAGTCTGCCGCGATCGTCGGACCGTCAAATGCAATCAGTTTCGGTTGATCAGTTTCCTATGTGTATATACGTAAAACGATCATAGACTACATTATAATATTATGTAATGTGTAAAATACGATTCAACACTCTTCTCTGTTTATTATTATATAGGTACGTCGTACGTATATACTATATAGTGATAGGTCACACTGCACTGCACGTGTCGTATATACAAAACGGGTAAAGGGGTGATTCATTTAACGTATACGAATCCTATAATACACCCATCAAGTGTTTCTGTTACATGATAATAAATCGTTGTAAGACAGCATTTTTTGGAAGACAAAATTGTATTTTTCACCATTTTTTATCTTTATCTATTCAAAGTTTTTTAATCTTTTGAATCACAACACATTTTAATTTCATATTCCAACGGAATATATAATTTGGATTATTTCCATCTATAAAAATCAAATTTTGGACAAGTAGCTTACTATAGTTATCAGTATTTAAAGTTTAGTCGAGCGAATCAGTGCCGATCAACATTTTGAGGGGTTGCTAACTTTTTGTACTACTTTACTCCGCTTTTCACTCACTCATAAACTAGTCTTCCGAAATTCGAGTTTTATGCATTGAAAAACACCAAAAAATATTCTGCTTTAGAATAAGGAATTAAAAGTGTATTTGTTGTCATTATTGTCATCAAAAAAATAATAACGATAAAAAATACTAATAGTATATATTGTTTTAGAAAAATTTCTTTTGTAATTCTATGTAAAAGACATATTTTCAAAAATGTTGGTGCGTGTTTTCTGAAATATATCTTACGTTAATTAGATCACTCGGTATTATATACATTATATAGGTACTTTCGGACTTTTTCAAATCGCCATTTGTTTTTATCACCGGTAAACGCGATATATACGCTGCGTCTACCGACTACCATAATTATTATTGATATTATAAATGCCAGAGCCGGCGCTGGGGCGGTCCCGTCTGTGGATTCGAGCTCGGGTTCCGCGCGTAATGGAATTCGGTCGTCGCACACCTGAGGCCGATTCCGCCGGGCCTGCAGCTGCAGCCGCACCCCACCGAGTATTTTAAAGTTGTCCCTGGATCGATGGTTTACGAGTGTGTACGGACACGGCTGTGAAAAGTTTGTATATTATTTAAGATGCGATGTCGGCGCATTGTTTGTCACTCTCTCTCTCTTTCTCTGGAGACCTGAGCGAGAGATAAAAAATGTGCGTTCAACAGGAAGACTTGTTATTAGTAGGCATGGAAGCTTTAATAATATTAGAGTGAATTGACCCGGTCGTCAATAATAACTTCGTCAAATAACTTAAATTTAAGACATTTTTTGTATTTGTGCGTTGGTTTTTTTACTATATTTAAATTTGTATGCATGTTATGAGTATAGGATATAATTTTAAAATGTTCATACATATAGTATAGTACAAATACAACCCGTTCGAGACTTAGTTTTTGGTCGTTGAAATAGTTTTTTCTTTTAGGGGGTGGGGGGCTGTACACTTGTTAGAATAGGCTTAGCTCTCTTCTTAAACAGGCTTTAAGCCGCGCATATACTAGACCCGAACCGGCCGAACTGACCGAACCGAAAAAAATCAAAATTCCGATTTTACGTCATGTGAGTGCATACACTTGTACCGAACCGATAGCCCGAACCGAAATTCGGGTCGGTTCGGATTTCAACTGTTCAAACATGTTTGATTATTAAAATTAGCGGTACTATTATATGTATAGGTAGATGCTCTTGATTTAAGAAGTTGATCAATAAATGAAATAATGTGATTAATATAATTTTTATCTACAGTCATTATCGATCATATTACATTCGATGTTTCGATAACATTGTTAAAGGAGCACACAACACAAAAAATTAGTTTTTTTTATTTGAAAGAATGTTCAATTCTAACGATAATGGCATACGTTTTACGTTTCTACTCACATTATTCAATAAGTTATGAGCAATTGAAAAAAGACGTGTGACGTCACTGGGCCGGAGTCATCGTAATTGCCTATCTTATACGAGTAAAAGTTCCTCGATTCACACAACGATTTATCAACCTAAACATTTTATTTTTGCAATTTTATATACATGTAAATATGTGGTTTTATATGTTTAAGACGATGCAAGTATTAGAATTGCAATACGATGTTTAGTTTTTTAAATATTAAAAATCTTAAAAGAGACATTTTGGTTAAACCGCACGTCATGGAGAGTGGCGCTTGGCGTTCGAAAAACCGATCCGCCGTTTAACCAAAATGTCTGTTTTAAGATTTTTAATACTTAAAAAACTAAACGTCATATTGAAATTCTGATTCTTACATCGTCTTAAACACATAGAACCACACATTTATACGTCAATTAAATTTTAAAAAGAAAATGTTTAGGTTGATAAATCGTTGTGTGAAGCAAGGAACTTTTACACGTATAAGATAAGCAATTACGATGACTCCGGCCCAGTGACGCCACGCGGCTATTCTAAATCTCTTAATATCTCTTAAAGTAATATTTTTTGTTACATCGTATCTTCACAAAATCATTTCATATAACCATAACTACAATAATTTAACATTTAAAAAAAATTTAAAGAATTTATTTATTTGTGTTGTGTGCTCTTTTAATGTGTACCAGGTACCTACTACCTAGTACCTACTATGTCCTATATAGTATTAAGTACTTTAAATATTTCTTAAATCGTGGTATTTTAGTAGACAGTAAAATTAATCCGGACCTCATTAGTCCGGACTTTGCTTAATCCGGACAGTCGTTTATCACGCTAGTTCATGATGTAGATTCAAATAAACATGAAAACGAGTTCAATTATACAACTATGTACTATTTTTTAGGTTTAATTTTGTTAGATATATGTATTAGATAGACTTAAGGTCCCCACACACTGCAGCGGTGGCGGTGGCGGTGGCGGTAGCGGTAAAATGAGTCCGGACACAATTTACCGCCACCGCTGCAGTGTATGGACCTTTAAGTATTGTAAGTATAGTAAAATATCCAATACAATTTTTCTAAATTTATAATTTACGATTCTTAGTTATTTTGTTAATAAAATGCTACTTTCATTAATTCGGACAACCTAGAACCTCAATTAGTCCAGATTAATGAGGTTCTACCGTAAATGTTTTGAAAACGTGCGTTTTATCTACAATTTTATTGACCGTTTCACATTGGTTTTTTGATAATGAAGTCGTACTGATCCGTAAGTATTTTAGTAGTTGTAAATACGTCGCACGTGAGAGTTGCTAAGATGTCATCTCTAAAATTTGAAAAAGAAAGACTCATAAGTTTAGTATTTGCGGAAAACCAAATTTGGAATCAAAAACATGACAAATACTATAACAGAGATGAAAAAATGTTAATATGGACACGCATTGCTACAAATCTGGGTACAACAGGTAATGCATTATTTAAACTTATATAAATATGAATAATAAAAATAAATTTGTTTTGTAATTTAAAGATATAAAATTATAATAATAAATGTAGCTAAATGATCAAAAAAAAAAAAAAAATAATAATAATAATAATAATAATACGTATACAATACAAGTAATAATACAATAATATTTAAAATATTTGAATAAATAAGTACATGGTCAGTACACAAATAAAATCACTATTAATTTTAACATAATACTTAATAGTTATTATACCTACAATCAAACTAAACTACTTTTGAATGTTTGCATACTGTTCTTGAAATGAAATCGATCCTATAGGACTAATAAAATATTTTTTTAACGTAGCTCTTACGAAAGTTGCTAAGTTTGAACTCTGATTACATTTGTCCTTACATTTTTTTAATTTCTATCGTTTTCATACGAACTCGCAGCAGATATGATGGTTTGTGCACATGGTTGCCCTTCTTTATCTTTTATAAGATTATGTAAAAGACAAATACATTGAACTATTTTAATTGATCGGCTTATGCAAGAGTCTCCATTTTGATACCATTATTCCAAAAGCATCTATTACATATCTACGGGCAAGAACATGACGATAATTATTAATACGTTCTTCTTTTGATAATAGTCGTTTAGAAAATGGTTTCATAATATTATGTTTTAATGTATAAGCGTCATCACTCATCACTTAGCATAAAAAATGGTACTTCTACAGATGTTCCCGCCAAATTAGATGATTTTCATTATTTATAAAAGTTGTCAAAGTTGATGATGCATATGTTCCTCCGTCGCTTTGTTTTCCGTACGCTCCAACATCAACAGATATAAACTTATAATTGACATAATGGCATCGGATACACCTTGTAGTACGATGGAAAAAAATGCTTATAATTATAATACATATTCCCAGAGTGAGTAGGACTTCGTAAACGTATATGTTTTCCGTCTATACAGCCAATACAGTGTGGGAAGTTCCATTTCACATTAAATTCATGCGTTGAATACACTGCATTCGTCAACTGTCAAAAAATGGTTGTGGAAAATACAATACGTGGTGATTTAATCATCTATTTAGCTATTGACTTATTTTAGTTCAGAACAAAAATTCTGGGACACTCAATGCAGCTATACCCGCAAAAATTCGGACCGAACATTTTTCGGTTCAATACTTTCACCGACGGACATTATGAATTTTTTAATTCTCCTAAAATTTCAGGGAGGGCTGTTGCTCCCGCAGCTCCCTGGATACGCCGCTGTAAGTGTTTTTAGTCTTATATATTATATTACGTTTATTATATAGCTTTTATTTATTAGGCATTTCCTCTTTTCTAAAAAACAACAATAAATTGCGACCGAAAAGCCGCTCAGCACTAATAATTGTATACGAACCGGCCAGGGGCGCCGGAACGATTTTTTTGCTGTGGGGGCAAAATATTTTAAGCTTTATTCTAGAGGGCATAAGAGCAAAAATAGTGTTGTTTAATTTTTGGTGCTTAATCTTCACCTCTCCCCAATTTTTACACCACCTATGCTGGGAATAGGTATAATTAATAATAATAAGGAAGGTATAATTAAATTTTTTTCTTACAAATATTTATTAAACAAATTCAAATCATGTAGGTATAAAAATTTATTAACAATACAAATTACAGTTGTAATTAACTTTTTCACATGCACAGTTTCTTTGTTGTACAATCTTTAAACAAAAATCCCATAACTATATTTTATTATACAATATTAATAAATATAATATACAGTTTAAATTTTAATGAATAATTTACATTTTACCAAATACACTTTTTCTCTCTGCTGTACGGCTAATGAACTCTTTTAGGATATCATCCAAGGAAATCTCATACAAAATAGTTTGGTTTAAGTGTAATAGTAATAAATGAGTCAAACGCTTTTGACTCATAGTTGAACGTGTATAGGTTTTTAAACGCCTGAGCCCACTAAATGACCTTTCTGGTGTGGCTGATGCTGCAGGTATTGTGTATAACAGTATAATAAGCCGTTCAACTTGGTTCATCAATTGACGTGACGTTTCTGGCAATATTTTAAATATTTCAACAATATATTTTATTGTTGCTGAGGGATTATCAGAATTTAAAATATTGGGAAGCATTATTAATTGAGCAGCTAATTGATCTACATTAAAATCAGTTACGTGAAGACCGAGAAGTTTTTTTATTTCACTTATTTCAATTTTATCTCTATTGATTGAACGAATCAAAATAGTTTCCATTGATACTACTTTGTCTAACCCAGACTGAGTGAATCTTTCATTTAATTCGTTCAACAAACAATCAATTAAAGCAAAAAATTCTTTTCTTAAAGCAACTTTTTTGTTGATGTTGGCTGGAGGTGTGCGTGTAGTTGAATATTCAAGCTTGGCGGGGGGCTTACAAACTCTAGGATTTTTCGGCATTGTAAGGTTAAGATGTACGGCCAATTGTTTGGTTTTATTCCAAGTATCATTGAAAACATCATCATTACGTAACGATGTTAGAGTTTTTATTAACAATTCTGATGAATGTTTGGCTCCGATAGCAGTGTATGATATATTTTGCAAAGCTTTAGCTAACTGCTCACATGGACCCAAAATTAAAGACAAAGATTCCAGAGCAAAAACAGTTTCAAACTTCCAAAGTTTCGTCTCATATCCGCGGAGAGCTGCACGTCTATCTTTACTAATTGAATTTGAATCTTTTAAAATTTCCTGTACTGTTAAAAGAACCCTTTCATAATTTTCTATAAATCTATTAACTGCTTTTACTCGGACTGTCCATCTTGTAGGACAAAAAGGAATAATGCCTGGTATATTTTCAGTTGTATAGTCATTTTCTTCATCTAAGTTAGTCGAAAGAACAATACCAGAAAATATGTTTTTGCGTTTTGATGAATCTAAGATTGTATTGCTTACAAATCTGATTAAATTTAGAGCATCATTAGCAAAATCTACAGTTTTAATAGTATCACTCAATGCTAAGTCCAATGAATGATTTGAACAATGGATAAATATAGATTTAGGTTGTACATCAGAAATTCGCTTTTGTACTCCACTTATATGACCAGACATAGTTGCCGCTCCGTCAAAACAAAGTCCTCTAACATTTTCAAAACTAAGACACATACGTGTCAATAAATCATTGATGCAAGAAAATAATGTTTCAGCATTTCCACTTGGAGGATTATACATTCCCACAAAAATTTCGTTTATATTTAAAGAAATTGTATTTAAAAAACGAAAACAAATGCTAAACTGTTCCTGACCAGAAATATCTGTAGTGCCATCAGCCATTATGGCCATAAATGGACTTTTTAGAACTGAATTTTTAATCTTCCGTAAAACAAAATGCGCCATAGTTTCAAGTAACTCATTTTGAATATCCCCACTTAACCAATTGTTTCGTTTTTCAAGCCAAATTTTTAGTGCAGGATTTTCAAGTGAACGCTCTTGTAATAAATAAATTAAGTTTCCAGAGTCCCATGTACCACCACGAATAGCTTGACCGCTACGAGCTAAGTAACGAATAGAGCTAATAACAATTTTAAATACTGTACGAGCTTCTTTTTGTTCATTTAAAGACTGTTCAGTAATTAAAGATATAACAGGACGCTTGTTGTTACGAAAATTTAAATATTCTATTGATGCTCTATGGTTTTCACTTTTTTCGTGTATAGAAAACCGCTCAGTGCCCTTCTTCCAATTTTGAAATCCAGTATCGATAAACGATTCTTGCCCATGAATTTTTATTTTTGTTTTTTTAGTTTGACTGGCCAAAGCACACGGATAACATAAAACAACATTTTTTTCTTTCACATAATGAAGCCAACTAAACGAATTGAACCATTTCAACTGACATGATCTTCCATTTGTTTTAGGGAATACAAAATCATTTTTGGGAATAAATTGTTCAGTTAAATAAATATTAACTTTAGAGGTTTTTGTTTCTGTTATGGGTAGTGATGTAGATGAATAAATGGGGATGATTTCTAATGCTAATTGTTCTAATTGTTTGTTTCTGTTTTCTGTATAAAATAAGTAAAAAATATAAGTGGTACTGACAGATATTAAAAATACATTTTTTAATTTGAAACCAAAACGAAATTTAAAAAAAAAAAGCGAGCAGTGGGGTAAGTGTCAAGTGAATAACAGATTAGGTTTATAACTGATTTGAATTAAATTAAATTTGAATTATTCAATAGGTCAGCGGTACCCAAACTTTTACGACCACGGCACCCTTAAAAAATTGTGTGTGTTTCGCGGAACCCTAATCAAACTCAACTACAATTTTTCTAAATAAAAAAAGGGAAATCAATTCTCTAAACTCTCAAGTCTAAATAATATTTTAATGATACTGTTAATGACTTTTCATTATTAAACTTAGTTTAAAAAAAAATTTTCAAGCAAAAATATTTTAAATAACAAACATTAAATAAACATAATTTTCTCAATAGTCTCATACATCTGGCGGAACCCCTGACATAGTCCCACGGAACCTTAAGGTTCCGCGGAACACACTTTGGGAAACGCTGCAATAGGTCGTAAAAATAATGGTAGTTTACATAAAAACAGTTTACATACCATTGTCTTCAACTGTCGTTTGTTTTGACGGAATCTCGAAAATACCAGGGTCGTCTACGTTAATTTCTTTATCATAATCTAAAGTTGTTGTATACTAACTATTAATATAACTGAATAAAACATAATTAAATAAAAATAATTGCATACCATTTTCTTCAACTGTTTTTGAACACTTTTTAAAAAAATGTGTTATTGTAGAGACTCGATGACGCTTCATCCTAATCAAATGAGTCTTAAAATGTAATAGCAAATAAAATGTAGTTATTTAATAATTATTATGACACGTATATTTGAAATTTTAAAATAAATCTTACTTTTTTTTCACAATTATTCTAGTCTCTCGCACAAGTAATAAACAAAATTACGCAAATAAAAATTTATAATAATACGGCGCGACGAAACTGGCGATTTTTATCACGTCTGTTTTTCCAATGTTCAGGAATAGAACTTCTCTCACACACGCAACGCGATATTGTCGCAAAGACTGCGGCGATAAGAATTGCATGCGATTGAATAATATATTCACATTAGTTTGACAATATAATAATAGAAGTGCGACGCGCATGCCATAGCAGCATTTCTTGGATTTTCCCGGTTATTTTTCCAATCTCTCAGAGCCTCGGTGCAATGTGTATTCTTAGTATTTTAAATTACTAATAGATATAATATATTACTTGCTGAACAAAATTATAGAATAATATTTAGGTANCAGCATTTCTTGGATTTTCCCGGTTATTTTTCCAATCTCTCAGAGCCTCGGTGCAATGTGTATTCTTAGTATTTTAAATTACTAATAGATATAATATATTACTTGCTGAACAAAATTATAGAATAATATTTAGGTATAGTGGGTTAAATGTAAATATAATTAGGCCATGAAGTCGTGGGGGCCTTGCCCCTACAGTATTTATTTTGTGGGGGCAATTGCCCCCACTGCCCCCATTGTTCCGGCGCCCCTGGAACCGGCAATGGTGTAGTAAAATAAAATGTTCCCGTTTTCACGCGATCGGTCAAAACTAAATTAAGTATTATATAATATATTATATATATATTGGCTGCAGCGCGTGTGATGGGGTGAGTGAGTGGAAAACGAATGGAACCGCGTGCGAAACACAAAAGTGTGAACAACCGCGAGGGGGTGCGAGAGCGATCGAATCCCCGAGGAGGACACTGCACGTACGCGGCTCCTACAAAGTATATAACGTCCATAATACGTGCGTATATATATATAGGTAGGTGTACGCGTTATTACATTATATCATATTATATATATACATAGATTCGCCCCGCACCCGGCAGCTCTGCTGTCGTTTATATATATATATAGTTATTACTTATTACACGGATCGGCGGGCCTTTTAGAAACCGAATTGGATTAGAAAAACGGATCAGGCTTGTATTTCAATGATTCGATTACAGTACAAGTCTATACACATAATGTACCAATAAAATTGTACCGGGTCTTACGTACATGCAGGAGTCGCTTATACTGTAGGTCTGTAGACAATCGCCTCGCAAGTGCGCAGTCGTTCGTATGATGGGTAGGTAATTATTATACAATATATTAGTACGTACTTTATAATACATTATATGTGTGCAGGCGACTTCAATTATTGTAGTCAACCGACCGGATTATGTTATATATGTATTATAATACAGATGGTTCTGGGTTCAGTGTATAATATAATATCTTATCTTAGTCACTCTACATATATTATTTTTATATTTAATATTAAGGAATATGAATACAATTGTGACAATGTAAAACATTAAAGTCCTATGTTTTATATTTTTGTATAATATATTATAACTAGTTAGGTATATGGTATATATATCTTTACTTACTTATATATTAGGTAGGTATAAGTACGCATAGTAATCGCATAATTTTGCCTGACGTGAGATTCGTGGAACAATATCTTAAATTCTTAACGTAATTTATATAGTATACAATACGAATACACAGATAACTCACGTGTGTACGGATTTATAATTTCGAAATGGAGATACAGAGAATACATTTTTCTTTTCGACAAACATTTGTCTCTTCGTGTACTATTCTCGTCCCATATTTATACACCTAGTACTTACAACTTTTTAATTTTTATATGTATATAAATACGTGTAAGTTTTTATAGTCAATCTTCATGTCGTCTTTTGAGCCAGCGTACGCACTCATATACACGCAAATCCTTAAAACAATGCAATTGTTTCCTTCCGTTTTCGACATTGAGAATCGAGACTAAATTTTATATTTTTAAAATATAATATATTAATATATTATACATCTTATATATGATATATTTATTGTTATTTATAGCTACAGCCTACAGTATACTTTTGTAGTCTGTACTTTTGTAAGTACGTATATTTAACGAATTTATATAATGTATATATATATATAACTATATGCCTAAGCCTTTTCATGATTAAAAACCCAATTTTTCAACAACACATACCAGTCGACAGATGGTCTGTAGGTACTAAATCGTCTTCGAACAGGCCATGGCCGTTGCGCTGATTTGATGTTTAAATAGCAACTCCAAGGCAGCCCAGCATGCGATTGCGGCAACGATAGACAAACCATAAATCACATTATAAAGAAATGCCAGCTAAGGAAATTCAACCAGGGCATCGAAGGAATCCACGTGATAACACCGGAAGCAGTAAAGTGGATAAGGAAACTGGACGTACACCTGTAAACTGTTACGCATTGTTATGTTATATTGTTATATTATATTATATATTTATAAAACCTTAACCTTTTCAATCTAAATTTAATTATATTATGCTTTATGTTTATATTTTATTTTATTTTATTGTTTAATTTTGCTGTAAATGATTTGTTAAGCCATACGAATAAATAAATAAGTCGACAGATTCAATAGACATTAGACATACAGATGGCAACTTTTAAATTCCTTTATTACACATACATTATCATACTTGTATATTTTGAAGCTAGATTCAACTACACATACCTATTATAATAATAACTTTATAATGCGAGTCACATTTGTTTTTATTTTCAACAAATAATGAAATGAAATCCTTTATTTTGTTAACTAGGATTCACACCGATAATAAAACAGTATTAAAGTGGTTTATCTTACATTTTCTATTATTTAAATTGAACGATTTAATATTTTTATAGTCAGCTTTAGTTGGCTTCTTCGTAATTAATTAAATTTCTATTCTTAGTTTGTGTTTTACAACTATAATAATACGTATGGAAATATAAAAATGTTAAGTTATGTTCAAATGCATACAAATTTTCATAAATAAAGTACACTTTTGCTTTGGATAAGTTTTAAATTTGTCTTCAAAAATTAAAAAAAAACCGATTCAAAGTACACAACCTACCATAAAATACTATAATTATAGTAGGTTATGTGTATAATACCTACTATACCTATTATAATATTATAGATTTAAAAGGTCTGGTTCTGACATTGTGTTCGGCGACTGATGAGTGATCTTATTAGTTTTAAATTTAGTCAAACAATTCATTTTGTACATCCATTTAATTGATACGTTGTTGAGCTTTATCGATTCTTACCCTTTTAAGTTTAACTGAGAGATTGGTAAAACCTTTTTAGGATTGGGCTTTTGAGATATTTTAAATTGTGTATTAGTTCTTACTATTCTTAAATATGGCTCTGTTCCCTGTCTTATACGATCCCTTCACACGACGAGTATTCAGTTGGAAAGTGTACAACTTCAATTTTTAAGATCCCTGGATTTATACTCTAAATATTCTTCATTCGCGATTCACTCGGCAATTGGCTATCTGTATAGCTGATTAGCTTAAAATATGGTTGATTCATTTGCAAAATATCGACGTGTCCTAAGTATAACATTTTTCAATGATTAGTTGTGCGTGGTAAATTAGAATCATTTATTCTACAATCACTCATTAATTTCAAAGTAACGAAATTCCCAAGTCTCCTTCTACACTCTTATTATAGGCTATGCGGCATATGCCTACATGCATCTCAAATTATTTTTGAAAAATCATGTTGCAATAAGACGTTTGATGAATATTGCCATTGCCTGGACTCTTCGTCTGCCATTTAATTATTAAATATGATAACAATATTGCAATGTGCCAATGTATAAATCGTTTATTACTTGTTCTTGTTAATTACAATTTTTAAGTATAAGTATCAAACATGTAGACATACGTGTATTTTCAAAGGGTCGTACTCGTTTATGTTATTAATAGAAGATGATAATATTATAATATTATATAGGTAACGTATTATTACCTACGGGTTACGACAGTAGTACAACTGTAGGTACCCACGACTATATAATAGGTACGCTTTACGAACACCTTTAGTTTCACCTCGATACATTTTATAATACTAAACAAATAATTTAATTTGGTTTACTTGTATTTTATCATAATTATCATAATGAATGCTAGCGGTTACACCATGTCACCATTGGCCGGACCGCCAGAACCACTGCAGGTCTACAGCACTGGGTCGTACGTAGTGGCACGACCGCTACTTCACTCACATAATAATAATATATTGCATGAGTGTACACTTGCGCACTATTATAATAATAGTAAGTACACATAGCCTTTTTATTATTATTTACGCGTACCTACGTCATACAATTGTTATTATTTATGATCATGTACACAAAATTATACGACGCTCAACCGTAGCGCGAAACGTTTGATAGAATTAATCGTTTGTTCGGGGAAAAAAAATAACTGTGCGGAGTGGGTGAAGAGAGTTAGCAATAACGAATTTTCCGCGAATGCTACTCTGCGCCTCTTCCAGTCTGGCTCGGGAAAACGCTCGAGCACTCGGCCGTCCAGAGTAATCACGTTATAATGCAAAGTCGGATCACTAAGTCGATCGTACAAAATAATTATTATAATTTAAAATAATATATTACTATCATAATATACGCACGTCGAATACGTAGTACCTATATAACTATATATACGTTTAAATGTTTTGTCGCGGCATCGAACGCGTTCGTCTCGACGGGTGTTTGCATGCAAAATGTTCGTCATCGTCGCAGTAGTCCGCAGTTTGACGCATCGGGTCCGCGAAAAACACTCACAGACATACTGAAATCTCTGCAACGTCATATTATTTTAATCAACTGGTCTTCGTCTCACTCGAATTTACCTTATTATAGTTTGTTCGAGTAGAGCATACCTACAGTCCGAAATTATTATTCAGTTGTGTCTTACTTGATGTCTTCAAGTCATCGACTTGATAATTCATCATATCGACGGATATATGAGCTTTTTAATCACAAACAAACTACAACTGAAGACAGACATCCCGTCGTCACGCGGTAGTTTTTAACGGCGGACCGTCGTGCAAGTCGCGCACTTGCTCGAAAATCAAATTAGTTTTGATCTTTTTTCGTAACGCCTAAAACCGAACGTTCCTTCAGTTTTCGATCCAAGAAGACATTTACCGTGTACGGGCGTACGGCGCTGTACGTTCTGCACTGATAAGACGGACAATTAATCGGATCGTGTTCACGGCAAAAACCTATTAATGTCAATTAAACTTTAAAGGTTCTAACTTTTCTCGTTATTCTTATTCTGTTCTGTGGTTCTCTAGTCGATCTTAGGCGGCAAAGAAGACGAAGACGACGACGGCAGTGTGACCATTTGTCCGGCGCTCGAACTCGTTTCGGTCCGTCGACAGCGTTGACCGTGGCCTGCAGCGTGCGTCCGTCAACGATAATATTATTGTATACAACTGTTTTCGTGGTGTGCGCGCGTGCGCTCGAGTGTGTATATTGTGTTTACCATAATATATCGTCATTATCAACGCGTATCGCCCGATTATCATTTCATTACCAATAATAATAATAACAATATAAAAAGTAATAATAAATAATAATAATAGTGTTTTTAGTTTTATGTGCGCCAGTGTTGGGTTTAATGTCACTTCGCGAATCTCTCCGTTCAGTCTTCCGATCGAAAAACTAGCACGCGCGGAACTGGTTTCGCGACTTCGCCGCCGACTACAACTACTACGACGACAACAGCCTAATTGTATCGCACGTTCGCAAAATCAAATTCCGCGGCGTACGCGATTTGTGAAATTTGTGTCCGCCGCTGTTATGACGGATCGTCGTCTGACGAGATCCCGATTCGCCGAAAACCGTTCCGGTCGTCCACGTTAACCCGGGAATACCAGTGGTAAGCATCTGTGAAATTTATGCGTGTTCCCAGTATCCGTGGCATCATCCTTGGCTGACCCCGACGATCACCTCAGTCTCTAAAACTTTAGTAGTTCGATCGTATTTTATTCACTTGACGCACATCGTTGAGTACTTCCCGTAAGTACCTAGATCGAATTTTTTCCATACACCCACTATAGATGATTTTATGTTAGAGACCAGATTGTGTATCAGTGTAGGTGTGTGTTGTTTTTATGTACCCGCGTGTTTGTGTGTGTGTGCGTATTCCTCAAATGTGGGTGTGTGATGATTCATACTTGCTGTAATATGAACCAATCCTAATGTTGCAATAACAAAATACAACAGTCCTAACCTACTGTTACATATTTTATTAATCACTCTTTCATAATCTATTATGTGTGCACAGATCAAACGGTCATTAATTGCAATAAATCAATGTTCTGTCACGGATAGATTGGATCAAATGGTCGTTGGCCAATCGTTGAACAAACACTGGAAAAATGGATCACGGGTATCAAAATACTGGCAGAACCCATGTAAGTCAATTATGACTTATACTTTATAGTCTACGCTCTTGTCATTGAACTAGAATAATGTGGTGTGACTTATTTTACTGACAAACTGTCATTGGTAATTTTTAGTTTGGAACAACTCCTCAACAATTGGTTACCCATTCGTTTTGCGACAGAGCTTCGCCAGTGTCACCCGTCACAAACTTTGGAAGTTACTCTTCATTTGTGCAACACGTAAAAGATGACAACAATATGAATTCATTACAGCGCAAGGCACAAGTGAAATTAAATGCCATGCCGTGAGTACAAATTACTGTAGTATATTACTATCTAATTATACAATTAACAATCATCAATAATAATATGATAGTCTTAGTTGTTGTATGGATAAAATGTTGTATAAAAATATAAAAATAAATCAATTACATTTTTTAACTGATTAAAGAACACTATGTATACAATTTTAGAACGAAGTACTTACATTTTCTTTTAATAACATTGTCTATTGGGATAGATTATTCTTATACTGTTATACTTTATGTTTAAGCTCTTATAATGTATGGATTTGGTAAAATACATTACTAATTATTTCTGTTATTTATGTGATACTAGATGGTTTCATGGAAAAATATCAAGAGAGATGGCTGAAGATTTGCTAACACCAAAAGAAAATGGTCTATTTCTGGTTAGAGAGTCAACTAACTATCCAGGAGATTATACACTTTGTGTTTGTTACATTGGCAAAGTAGAACATTATAGAGTAAAGTACAAAGACAATCAACTTACAATTGACGATGAAGAATTTTTTGAAAATTTATCACAATTAGTTGAAGTGAGTAATTTGTTAATCTATTTCTTCTATTTTTTGACATTTAATGTTACTTACCTGTCATCACTTGCTCACGGTTAATATTCAACTCAGATAAACTTGAAATCAGCATATGAAACTAACCTTAATAGTACTGTATCTATAACATTTAATGTCTTCTAATCATGTATGGATGTATGTTTGAAGTTGTTAATTTGTTTTCATATATATATATTATGGTATTAAAAACGGGGTAAATTCATAACCCACGCGAGTGAATGTAGCATCAAAAACACACGAGTGGTTAAAAATTAATTGGATTTTTATTTTTACAAAACATAATTGTGTATGATATTTATGTTGTAGCACTACCAAAAAGATGCTGATGGACTATGTACACAATTAACCAAGAGTCTACCTAAAAAAGGCAAACAAGAATTTTGTATTGATACCAAATCTTTTATTGATGCCGGATGGGTTATACAAGAACAAGAATTACAGGTTTGAGAAAGAAAAATCTATTTATTTGATATCTTATTTCATTAAACTTTTTTTTTTATTTTCTAGTTAAATGAAACAATTGGCAAAGGAGAGTTTGGTGATGTATTATTGGGAGTGTACAGAGGAGAAAAAGTAGCTGTTAAAATGTTGAAAGACTCTAGCGTAGAAGCCCAAAAATTCCTAACAGAAGCTTTACTTATGACGTAATTCGGTCTTTTTATTAAATATATTTTTGATATGTGTGGTTTATTTGGTAAAATACAAAAAATACATTGAAATGTATGTGTTTTTTTGTTTATCAGGTCTTTGAGGCATGAAAATTTGGTTGAACTTCTTGGACTCGTATTAAATGAAAAACACCTATTGCTAGTTACTGAATACATGGGTAAAGGGAGTCTAGTTGAATATTTACGATCAAGGGGAAGACTTCATGTCACTAAAAAAGATCAAATTAATTTTGCAGTGTAAGCTATTATACATTTTAAAATTATGCATTGATTTATCATTTAGTTATTAATCGTATGTTAAAAAAAATATTTTAGTGATACATGTAGCGGTATGGAGTATTTAGAGTTTAGAAAAGTAGTACATAGAGATTTAGCAGCTCGAAATGTATTAATATCAGAAGCTGGAGTAGCTAAAGTAGCTGATTTTGGATTGGCACGTGAAGAAAATTATATTGTAGATGCTGGAAAATTGCCCATCAAGTGGACTGCACCTGAAGCACTTAGACAAGGGGTAATTTGAAATAGCAAATATTTATGATGTATTATATTTATTTAAGATATTGGATGTATTTTTAAAAATTGTGTCAGGTGTTTTCAAATAAATCAGATATGTGGAGTTTTGGAGTTCTACTATGGGAAATTTATTCTTTTGGTCGAGTTCCTTACTCCAGAATAGTAAGTGTTACAATATTTTATCTTGTTTGCTTATCAAACAATATTAATAATTAAATTGTTTATGTTTACCAGCCATTAATTGATGTAGTAAAGCATGTAGAAAAAGGTTATCGTATGGAAGCTCCTGAGTGTTGTCCTCCGGAAATATATGAAATCATGAGACAAGTAAACATAGTTTTGCTATGCTATTAATATTATGATTTATTGATATTTATTCCTTATATTTTTTTAGGCATGGGACTTATTGCCTGATCGAAGACCAACGTTTAAGGATGTTAAGACCAAACTAGCACAGTTAAAAGTTGTAACTATTAACTAAGAGTTACATTTACTAATAACTTATGTATAATACTATATCTGTGCACTAACTTTGTTAATATCTGTATAGTATCAAATTGAATTAATATTTATGAACTAGTCTTTATTTTATCTACCTTCAGTATTTATTATTCTTTAGTGTTTTCTTTTAATTATTATTATTACTATTACTATTATTATTGCATACTATCTAATATTTATACAAAATAAATGCATTTAGTATTGGTCGAGGTAGATTTTCAATTTTTTAACTGAGTTACATAACTACTTCAATTACGATGTTCATTGGTATTAGATATTAAATATAAATGTATATAACATGATCACATTATTTGTATTTATTATATATGTAATCAAAAGCATTATATTTATATTAAATGGGATCTTACTATTAAATAATATATAAACTGAATTAATATACTTATGAATTAATGATAATCATATTAATAGTCTTTGTGGGTATTAACATTTTAAAATTAATATACATGTATGATATTCTGTTAAGTGCTTAAATTATTAAAGATGGTATTATATATGGTATATACATCATACATGTGATATCTAGTTATATCAGGAATTAATACTGAATGTATGTACCATTTTTAATGCTTTTGTTCATCAACTTAGTTTACTTATTACATTCTGATTGACATTAAGTTAAAAAATGTATCAATACTTCACCAATACTAAGCATTTTAATATTACATTTTTTTGGCTTGATAGTGCTTTTTTGTGTTTGTTGTTTTCAATTGATAGGTATGATATTTGAAAATATTATTTTGCAAATGAAAAACATCAAACTCTTCTTATTGCAATAAAATGATTAAATTTAATACTTTAAAGGAAAACAACTAAATATGTTAATTTTTTTAAATGATATGTAAAAGTTATTTTTGCCTAGTTGACAAATATTAAACTATTATTTATTTGTCATTGAATTTGACTGTTATAAAATGTATTTATTACAATTTTAATTTATTTAGTAGAAATTGGTTTCAATTCTCATCAATTACTGATAAATACTTTCTTCAATATTTATTTGATAAATTTGTATGGTTTTTACATTTTAGTGTGCTTTATATTTTTGAATCTTAACTGTAATTATGATACAATATATTATTGGTAATCTTTTTAAATTTTCTTTCCAATTGCTTATTAATAAATAATAATACTGACTGATTAAAATAGTATGTTACTATAAAACTCTAATATTGTTGGGAGCCCACACCAAGTTTTTAAATTTACACTGATTACTGCTAAAAAATATAATTCTAATAAATGTTAAATAATTTTTTTATTTTACAAGTCATTTGTAATATTTAATTACAAACACGAAATTATAATGTCACTAATTATTTGTATTAAAATAAGAAATAATATTCAATTATAATATGTGTTAGTTAATGTTTTTTAAAATTATTTATGTCAAATCTCTTAAATGAGATGTATAGATAAATTGCCTTATTTGACATAACATACTTGAAGTTTGGACGTAAGAAAACGTTTAATATTTGATTTGTTTTAGGTTAAGGTTTTATATTCAAAACTATGTAAATATTACTGTATTTTACTGGTGTATTTGTTTGTTTGTTTGTTTTTTTTTTAATTACTTGGGTAGCATTATTTACCAAAAAATTTTGGTTTTTGTACTCATATGTTAATAAGTTTATAATAATTTTTTTTTTGCTACACTATAATATATTTTTTTTAATTTAAAATAAATTGATATTCTCTCAATCAATAAGTGTTATGATTTTTAATTTACAAAATGTGTAGTGTTGCGGTGTGTCTACTTATCTGGTTTGCTTGTATTATACTTACCCTGTGAATGGAAAAACTGACCATTGGATTTCGATTATACTATGGTCATGATTGTCATTCGTCAATTTAACTTTACTAATTATTTAATAATTGTGATAAGCATGTAAATCATAATAACTTATGGTCTTATTGTGACTTTTAAAATTACAATTGATTATGGTTTTCAGCAGTCTTTTAAATTTGAATATATTCGAGATGATTATATAAAACTTAAAACAGTCATTATTTGAATTTGTTGCAGCCTTATGTTACCTATGAAATCATTCATATTCGAGGATGAAGTCGACGCGTCCCCCAAATTGTGTGAATTTATTAGTATAGATAGAACAACTTGATTAGGATAATCCAATTTGTAATTCAAATAATTTTCCTATACCCATATGGCTATATCTAGTATAAAAATATAATTGAATCACAGCTATTTTTTTTTTAAATACAACTTTTCGAATTAACTGTTTGAAAATTATTAGCATAATTGTGTTTATAAACTATTTGAATAATTATTCAGATAAAAATGTTCCCAATTTTGATTTAACAATTTGTTTTAAAGGTTGAAATGATGTTATACATTCGTCTTTAGTTAAGATCATTCAGGATATAGGAGACGATATGGGTATATAAATATATATAGCGATGTTACCCACCTATCCTATCACCCAGACACTAATTACACGTCACATCTTGAGAATTCGGATAGAATTTAAGCCGGAGCTTGTAGGAGGAACCGAGGAAAAATATACAGGTGACCGTTGTATTGATAATAGACTCTATGATGGAAGGAATAAGAAAAAAAGGACAATGTTTCGTGTATAATTCAATATCGATTATTAAGGAGCAAAAAGTTGAAGGTACGTGCATTATTTATCAAACTATAGTTGCGAGAGAGCAGCCCAGACGGCTATAAATCAAGCAAAATTCTCGAAAAATAACGACACCGCTCATTTGCGTTGACTATTAGACTTAAAACGCATATAAGTTACATACCAAATTGAAAGTTCTGAAAACTTCATTGAATTCTGTTACCTATATGTTTGATTTTAGAGTAAATTGACTTTTTACCAAATTTAAAAAATAATAATATTATCTAGTCAATGAGATAGACTTTTTTTATATTTTATTTTTAAAACGATTTATGACTACATGAGTATTTAAAGATATAGTACACTTTTTTCACTTACAAGTTATAATGCACTATAATGACGTCGGTGTGTTTATTTCACTCAGTATCTTTTATCGTATCATATATTAATAATTACTACATAATATATATAATATATTGTACACGTTGTTATAATACATAATAGAAACGGTGCGTTATTTTTAACTATACGGTAACCAGTAGCACATAACAATCTTTGGTTTAGTCCGGATTTTCCGTTTCTTGTGACACTAATTTTTTCTTTTTTCTTTTCGTTGCATATGTCCTCGTGTCATTTTCTCTGGTTCTCCGAACGCGTCTCCTAAAATCCAATAGATCAACGATGAGCACGAAAATGTCGGAATAATATTACATAATAAATGTACAGCATACAGAGTGATTATTTTATAGCAGAACAATCGATATTCGTTATAAGCTAACTAACCTATACACTTGAATCGAATTATCGAAATATGTTGACATTTTTTTAAATATTATGTATTTAGACGATTTAGGAACAAAGTTGGTGAGCTGGTAGCCTATATATGTATATCTCATATAAGTATTGCAGTGCTATTGTTGTATACCAAATAAATTTTTGGCTTTTCAGCTCTAACTCATCGGTCAATTTGTTAATAGTGTTTCTTTCAAATTGTTTGGAAAAATCATATCAAGAAAATTGTCATTTCAAAAATTATAAAAACTTTATTTAGCAACAAAAAATTTTTATTTTTTATTTAGATAGCTACCTACTCCATTAAATCAGAATTTTCTTATTGATTAATGATTAGTCGTGTCGTAATTCTATTGAGATGAACTGGAACCCACACTCAAAATTAAAACCTATATGTTGCTTTTTAATTAGGCGTGTAGTTACTACGGAATGTGATTTTTTATTTTTATTTTTATTCGTATCAAAACACATTCTAATTTTTAGGTAGGTAACCTAACCTACCTACCGGCTACCTATATTACTGTTGTTAATAAGTAATAAACTAAACTAGTAAGTAATAACTATAGGCGTAATCTGAGGAAAATACTTTTTTGGGGAGGGCGGCATAGTCTGTGGTAAAACTAAAAATCTATAAAGTAATAAGACACCATTGCCCCTCAGATTACGCCTAAGCTAATAACACATTAATTATATTCGAGAGATGAAACCGCGATTGTATGAAACATAGTGTAACCCGTAGATAGGTAACTAGTAACTACCGAAACGTAGAGAGTTGGAAAAACGCAAATCAGATTTTAATAATAATAATTTTATTGTTTGTAGACCACGTTACGTGTTTTTCTTTTTTTTTTACTTAACGCGTCCTTAATTCATAATTCATAAACCATGGTCATCGACAATTTAACTTTTAAAACGATTGTCCTACGGTTTTATCGAAAACACGGACAAATACTATCATATTTAATTGTATCTATTATATGTGTCACAAATCACAATGTGTAGGTACTAGGTAGGTACCTAAATGAAACGAATTTTTTTTTTAAAATATATTATATTATATTTTACCTGTTGGAGGTTCTGGTCTAATCGAATGGACACGCTTTACTGTTACGCATTTGAATGCAGTACGTTCCTCGAGCGCTAAAACACAACATATAGCAATATTTAAAATGTACATTAACATAATATAAACGTGTTTTTGTTTATTGTATTATTGACGATTTGTTGTGAAAAAATGTTATGTTTTTCAAGACAAAAAAAAATTCTTATAAAAATTAACGGTTTTTTTACATTATTCAATATCACCGTAATAATTATTAATTATGTCGAGTTTTGTTCAACATGGGTCGGTACAATAATGCAATGATTCTTTTAAGTATAAATACTCATTTTCTCGAAAAGCAAAAAATCAACACATTTAGCAGAGGTACCCGTCCTATTGGCTATTACTCCACTTCGCTCATCATAACTATGTATACCCACTGTACCGTCATAAATAGAGTTCGGATTTTGAAGCTCTATGAAACTACATGAAAAAACACTTTAAATGAAGCAAAAAAGTATCAAAAACCTAAAGCAAAAGCAACTAAACTATTTTTAAGAAACCCCAAAAATTGTATATTAGATTCATGTTAATTTTGTTTTAATTATTATTTAATAAATGAGTATATAACTATACAGTATAAATATAATCGACTACACTTAGTTTAATATTCTATAAATTACAATTAAATACATTAAAGTATAATAATATCAATTAATTAAAATATGAAAAATAAATGTTAACTGTTTATTAATTGTTTTAGGTTGTGGATGTTATTCTAATCTAGAAAATAATGTAAAATTTTAGTTCAAATCCTGATTTCCACCCAACTATCAATGAAAATAAAGTATTATTACCTTTGATATCTGAGTTACATTGAACGATTTAATCTTGTAACAAATTTTTATATATTGATATATTTTAGATCATATTATAATATAATTTCTTATCCAAGTTATTATGAATAAAATTAAAATTAATAATAATATTAAAACGAGTTAAAATCGATTGAGCCATGTTAATGCAACACATTACGTATACAGGTATTATTATACAAAAGCAAATATTGACCTTTTAAATTTTATGTCGATTTAGAATAAATTTATAAAAAAGTTACTAAATACTAAACAAAAACTTTAAAGTAAAAAAAGTACTCAAAGAACCCAAAAGTTATAAAAAAAAAAAAATATCAAAGATTGTATTCTTAGTAGTATAAATCGAATTTATAGCTGACATGATGTTGTATTAGACCAATAGAAAAAAAACAAATTCTGAACAAAATCCGAACTCTAGTAACAATAGACACGCAATACCTATTTTAAGTTTAAAATAATGTTTTATAGATAATCTATATAATATATATAGATATAATATATATGGCGTTTGTGCATACTTGTCCGGAGTGTGGAATCCCATGGACACGGGCACGTCTTTGGCGTACGTCCTGGACAGTGGTTCGCAAGTAGACGTACAGGGCACGCCTTGATGGCGCTTACCTCGTTCTGAAACGGAAGCCGCGAAGAAACAAGCGCTCAAGAAGTGACTGCACCTGGCTCGGCCTGTATAACAACACACACGCACACGGACGACCGACTCTCATTAAAGACGCGGATCGATACAGCAAATATGATAAAAATAATAATACTCTATTTATACATAGGTATTATGTAAGCTTATAAAGTTGTATCGTCAAATGTCATGTAATAAATACATGTATTGTTATATATTTTATAAAGTGAAATAATATATAATATCACTACAGCTATATTGTATAAGCGCACGATTCAACGACATCTAAATACGCTTCGTCCTAAGAGGGCGCCACGACCGCATATATTATATTATGACGTGTAGTCTCCGTCTTACAAAACGTGTACCTAGGGGTCCAGCAGTTCAAAAATGATTAGCTGTACAAGCTAATTACACAAAATTGTTAAGTTATACGTTTGTAAGCTAGAGACAACACAAGAATAATATGTGGCTGTGGCGTCCGCTCATAATACAGAGTGATACTTTTATCGCTGTTTGGTCATTTTATCGGTAATTGATGTACCTATGTGCACTTTAGTGAAAACGATTTTTCTTGCATCAACTATTAAACAGAATAGAATTCGTATTAAAAAGAATAATCTGTTTTAATGATTTCACATTATGTATAAAAATAAATGATTACTTACACCGATAAAAAGACTGTATGATTGTGGTAAAAAAATCACTCTGTATATGCACCAAGCTCAACTAAAATACAGTAAAAGCCACCATTTAACCATATACTCTCGAATTTAAATTTTACAAAACATTAAATGATAAATAATACATTTTAGAAAATTCTACATGATTTTCATAGAGTCGAACAGACTACAGATATTATGGTATTTCATTATATCATACGCATACCTATAAAATAAATATAATATGGTTATACTTACCCACCACAAATCATTTTACAAACGATATTAAAATACGATTTCTTTTGTTTCAGTATTCATAATTTTATTACCTATGCCTACCTGTCAAAGCAATGTATAAATATTAATTTTATAAATAAATATACGTGATCAGGGTTTAATCGATTCCGCCAGACCTTTTTATACTTGGGGATAAGGTTTATCGATTCCGCTAGCATTGATTCCTCTAGTGCAGGTAGTCTAAAAACAACGTATCGATTCGGCCGGGGAAAAAATAATCTACCCAACAACAATTATAGTTTTTTTTACTTACGTAGCTACATTATAAATATAATATGAAATACCTGCATAAAAATGTTATCGCAAATTGATGATTATCCAACTTGTATACGCGTAATGTAGCGAAAAACAACTAATAGATTGTCCATCACTAATCTGGTTAGTCTCGATTTATCCTCGTGTCATTATACTTCGTAATAATGAATTTCGTAATCGAAAAAATAACTTAGATATTTATCAAAATGAAAAATTGTTTGAAACAAACTTTGTAAAGTATTTATGTGCGTATAAATGGAAATGTGTTAATAAAAAGTGTAATGCAAAAATATACGTAAACGAATCTCTAACGGAAATTTTTAAATATGATATTGACCATCAAAACCACGAAAAACTGCCGATAAATGTATTAGAAAATAAACTGTTTTCAAACCAACTCAAAAGGAAACTTACTAATACTAGACTACCTGAACTGGTAGAGTTAATACTGGCGGAATCGATGCTACATTGACGGAATCGATAAATCCCCCACATGGGCGTGGGGAGTTAAACGATTACATAGGTTATTTTGTAAGTGTAATAAACTGGCGTAGCATTATTACTGAGCTTCCTCCCCCAAATTTATTTTTTTCGATGTCGATGCATTTAAATCGAAATTCAAACGAGTTTTAAAGTTACTATTTAAATCTTAAAGATATTATTTTGGACTTTAAATACATGAGACTATGATGATTTGAAAATAAAGTGATTATTTATTTTATTGACATTTTATAAATTGTAAAAATTGTCAAATACTAGACAAAAAATATTACATATGTTTAATATTTGATGTAAAACCATTATTAAGGACTATTATAATTATTATTCTCAGATATTCTTAAATATATTTTAACAATTCAAAAACTATTTGTCTGAATTTCGATTTATACACCTATAAATCAAAGTTAAAAAAAAAATCATCTTAACTTATATTAAAAAAGGATGGTTCTCCTTTGAAAAATCTAATAAACTATATATATTAAAATACAGTTTTATTAAGTAAATCATTAAAACTATTTCAAAAATCAAAATTTTAATAAATGTGTTATTGAAGGATACCAAAGGCCTAAGGGGGATGGTGAGGTATTGCTGAATCACCCAGAAGTAAATAAAAATTATACGAATCAATTTTTTTATTTGAAAAACCAGCTATAATTACTCCAATTCCTTGGTCACCCTTCTTCTTTTCTTTACTTTGTGCATTTTGATAACGATGTGAGACCAAATATTTCGTGGATTTGTGGGATAGTTATGATTTTTACGTGGAAAACCAAAACCAAAAAAAAAAAAACTGAAACTTATAATTATGAAAAACTTACCGTATAAATTTATTTTTTGTTTTCTGAAAAAATTTTTCTAGATAAGACGATAGCGATTTGCAATCGATTCAAAATCATGTTGCTATTGACCTGTTGGCCACCCCCGATATACAGAATAAGCGTGATGTATAGTAATAACTAATAACAATAATGATAATAATTACATTATAACACAGTATAATAATAATATGTTATATTCGCACGGCGCGTTCATCCGAGCTGATAAAGCATTTTTTATATTTTAATGCTTGTCAATCGCTTTTATAATATTTCTAATATTACGTGACTTAAATTATATTGTATGATACAAATATAATGGAATGTTTCGCTACATATTATTATAAAATGTACAATGCACGCGCCAAAAACTACAAAAGCGTTTTCGCTACCAAAATCTTCTAAGCAGAATATTGCCCCGAAAAAAAACCTTTCAAAAATATTTGCTTATACACACCGTCAGTCACTACTATACTTCGCCGTCCAACAGGTATCCGCAGTCTACCTACCACGAAAACATAAAATATTCATGAGCCTCTAAGTCCACAGCTGTTATGTATAATAATATGATTTATTTCTATATATATTGTTTAATCATCAGCCGCCTAAGTTATTATAATTTCCATAGGCCCAATAAGAGATAAAGCCCCCCCCTCTCATTGTATTTTCTAACGATTATATATGCTTAGTCCTTAGCAGTAAGTGATAACTGATAACTTGAATTGGGGCTAAGACCTCCCTATTTGATCCAATGTTAATTTCGTTAATTTATAGCTATTATAGCGTGGTAATAAGGTAGGTATGCGAATATTATAATATTTAGCTACAGGACAACTACACTGCGACGTACGAAGCTATTAATATTCTTTAAAACCTTTTTTTTTTGGTTTCAACAGTTTATCGCTACATTTTTGTAAGATATTTGTCTAGGTACTAGAAGACGTAAGAAACACCTGTATAGTTAATTTGATTAATTTTTTTAAATTTCAATGTCTAGCAACAGTTCTACACTGAATGACCAAATAACATTGCGCAATAATACAATAATCATTATAACGTAGTTGACACCAAAAAACCTACCATGTGCTAAAGGCTAAACCCTTTTTTTAGGATAGGTACTTGAAAAATGTTACAAAAAAAAAAAATTGTTAATGGAGACAAATTCTCGAAATTTTCAAACTGTATCAAATCTGATTTTAAAATATAATTAGAGTCAATATGCTATATTTACTCTAGGAATTCAATAAATTATCAATGTTTAGCCGCATTGGTGATTTTTTATATCTCATGGTTTTTACCAATCATATACGTACCTATGTGCAGAGAGGTTTAACGAATGATAGTAGTTGGTGTCATATATTTAGAGTGTTTAATCACAATAATCACATAGAAGGTATTTCATAAATGATTAAAAGTTGGATAATATTTTACTGTTACTGCACATATTAGACGTTTTATTAATTATATTTCAATAACTTTACCATAAGCGTTAAAATAATATTATCGGATTAGGGAACTCTACTAGGTAGTGACAACAAAACGTGTTGATTCTTATTTTTGGGTAGCAAAATAATCTCCTTAAAGTCTGGTATTTTAAAGGTATTCGTATACTATTGTGGAATATTAAGACCCCGTACTCGTACTGCAGTTGTATGTATAAATTATATTGACGAAAAAGCCTAAAACCATATATTATTCGCATGATGTCGTACCGCGTTTGTCCTCATCGATAAATCTTTTGTGAGTCTGTCACAGAAACGTAAATGTCCACTGTCAATTTTAAGTATATATTGTAAATATTTTAGGTTAAACAGCATAATATATTTGAAAAATAAAATTTGTTGTTTTCAGGATATTTTTTTTAAATCTGAGATATTACATACGGATTTCAAACAAGTATTTTAATGAGTCGCAGTCTCGGGTGGGTGGGCGGGCTTGCATGAGGACAAATACGGTGAGACGTGCTGTATAGTGTGTGATGTACGCAGTAAGGTACGTGTTAAACGTCATTTCAGCCAGCAAAATAATACGATTTAAGAGTGCCGTGGCTATTTATTCCAGTACAAAAATTCAGATAATTTCCAGTAGGCTACAAAAAAACCGTTCTCAACCACATTTCAATGACGAAAAATTAGTTTACAGGAAAAATGATCGAGTCCCATAGGTTAGTCCTATTCCGATGGTTTTTTTTTTATTCCAAAAGGAAAACCGTCGACATTAATTTTTAAAAAACAAAATAAAATCGGAATTCGCTAATTTCTGCACTTGGCGTGAGGTTTTTCCTGTGAAACGAGTTTTTGCAATAAAATAACTGGTCGGCTTCCCGACACCCTTTGCAGACTATCACTCCACACGCGTATATTATTAAAATGTTAAAATGATTAATGGCTGATATAATAATAATCATCGTATCCGAGGCTGATAAATGATAAAAAAAATCGTTTTTAAGACCGTTTGTATAGTTATTTATAGTCTTGGTAACATCATAGTCGTCTGTAATCTGTATAGTCGTTGTATATTAGGTACGTATTTATGTATAGTATAGAAAAATGGTGACCCTACATCTTAGTTGTGCTAATGGATCGTTTCGCCAGACAGGCGACGAGCAATAATTATTACGGATATTCCTGGGCTCCTTGGCGCAGCTCGGTTGCAGTCGGCCGCCGTTCACGCAAAAGTCGACGTGTCCCACTTGTGGCGCCTCGCCTAGGAATCCAGCGTTCGTGTGTATCACCTGAACCGTGGTCGCGTCGTCCCTGGTTAACCGGAACTCGGCCGAACCGTACCTGTCCACCAGCGGCCTGGCCGGATCTAGACCTGCAACATGTGTCACGACGTGAAAATGAATTCAGGTTTATTACTATATAATGTTTTACGTCAGTGGCGTATTTATGGGGGGGGGGGAGGAAGGGGTTCACCACAGTTGTCCCCGCAAAAAAAAATATTTGAAGACCTCAAATTTTAAACATTCCAATATTCAATAATATAATAATTTGTTTATTTTGAAAATTATAAAATTAATTTGAATTCTTAAATAATTAGTTAATATAAAAACAGATTAAAATTGAGTTTAAGCATTTTATACTGACTTATAAAATAATTTCACTATTATGACACCTCCCCAGGGATGCCTAAGGAGAATGAGTTTAGATGGTTTGGTCATGTCATGACTTATGAGGAAAGGTGACTCGGCTTTTGTTATATTTTATACATACTTAAGTATTTATTTTTAATAGTATTAAAAGTTTTAGTTCAATTAATCACAAACATCGATCAATAAAATAAAGTAGTGTAGCCAGTTATTAAATGCTTATTCACTATGCATAAATATACATAATATTAAATTGTAATCTACCCAACGTAGATTGACATCAATCCACCTTGCATAAACCTATCATATCACTTTATTATACATTAAACACTTGTACAATCTAAGAGTTCATATTATGTTGTATCAAAATAGTCGGTACTGAAACTATCAATATTATAGACTGTAGTTGACCAGTGGCGGCGCGAGAGGGTTTTTGTGAGACAAATGTCTCACAGCTAAAAGGGGTAGTGGGTGGGTGCCGAGTAGGTATCTATGGTGGATAGTTAGTTCTGAAAAATATTGAGTGACAAAACGTATCAAATAAATAAATATATAAATAGTTATATTCATATAGAGTATAGACAATAGAGTATAGACATAAACATGGTTTATAAATAATGTATAATAAGTGTATTGAGAAAAGAATTAATGTTTGGATGATTGTTTTAATTGAAAGTACATTTAATGATTTATTAATAAAGCAGTATTTATATAATTTATAAAAATTATTTTTATTGTAGTACCCGTAACATGAATTTCTAGAAAGGCTAATTTGATATAGAATTATAATAGGGGGTCTGGGGGCATAGCCCCCCACGGCTCTGTGCAAAATAAAAAGATGGGTCGTGTGTGCTGCAACTAACATTTTCTTGCCTCACTGTCGAAAAAGTTTGCGCCGCCACTGAGTTGACTTACACTTTAGTTCAGCTTTTCGTCATTTCAATATTCCATATTATTATTTCGTAGATGAACGAAAATAATGGTTTCACAGTGTTTAATATGTACCTATATTTACGTATGGTACTGGTGAAGTACGAAAATTATTTGTTTTTATATGAGTTGATACTCGAAGGAAAAATATATTCTTGTTGAGCTTAATAAAAAAAAATCGTATGTATTATGAGTAGCATGTTACTAGATTACTGAATATCTTTACTCTGCAAAGGAAAATTGCAGGATCAGAGATATATTTTTGACTGGTTAAAGTGTAGTGGAAAATATGTAGTAGCATGCTACATTTTGCTAAGAATTAATTTTAATTTTTTTTAAATTTTCATTATAGATTACGAAAATCGACATGTTGAAAAAAATTTGTACCCTTCCTAAAAACGTATCTATATTAGAAGTATATTATATGTTTAGCCACCCCTGATGTGCATATTTCTTTGTTCATATGGATAAGGTTTACATTACTCGGGTAAAATGAAAACTTTCCGTTTTTTTACCTTACCCGCAACATATACATAATAATAAATTATTGGACTTAGATAGAACTTAATTTATTGTTAAAATGTTTTTGTAAATAATAAAGTAATTAAACATTGCCATATTCCTGCAGTGGTCTGTAAATTAAAATTTATAATAATTATCAAGCATACTAAAGTGAGAGGCGTGATGGAGAAAGGTATTAGGTTAGACGAACTATGAACTGTATACGAATTACAAATATTTATAATATTATGTAGGTATCAATGTAAGAAAGCGACGAAAGTATTTGCTGTCTTGTTTTATCATAATTATTTTTAAAGTTATTAATAACTGACATTATAGGTAGGTAGGTACAACAGGTTTTCAAAATTTAATTTTGAAATTTTAAAAACAAAAATTGGGTGACCGTAAGTGATCAAAAACAAAGAAGTTTCAGCAAAACGTCCTAAAGGGACCCACCCCTCGCCACAGCATTGGTATTTAGTACGCCTCGCTGCTGATCACACCCCTGCAGGCAGTACAACGAAATTATTTAGGTAAGTACAAGGTACACATGACTGTCAATATAAAGTTATAACTCGGAGTCGTCGTCACCGCCGTCCGCACATATAACTAGGTATATGATAATCAGGGAAAGTCGCGGAGAGCGTGTGCGAATGAGTAGGAAGAGAAAACAATATGTACGAAAGGAATCTGTAAGTTATTATTGATACTTAAATAAAACCAAACATATTTCTAGTTCGTCTAGCCTAACGCATTTCTGTATATATACGTTTTCGCATGCATTAATACGGGTCATCGATGTAGGTAGGGCGGTGGTCATCCGAAGTACGTATAATATAATAGAATAATGATAATATACCAGCTATAAAGGTTACCTCTTAATGGCTTCTATTTATTAAAACGAAGTGTTTTTTATCGGTAAAAAATAGTCTGTACTATTTATGGTTATTGCTTTGGAGATGATATTATACCGCATGATTTTTCTCCGGCGTAATTTATTGTATTATTAAGATACCCAGAGAATTATTATACTCAATAACAGCAAAGTAACAATAGATAGATAATTATTAATTTAACCTAGGTATTAATATTTAAGCACAATAATATAGCGAAGAATAAATGTGTAATAAATAAATAAGTACGATATTTATGTACCAGGTACATTTATTTCGGCAGTTAAATGTATAGAGTTTTTTTATGGTATTTACTAGACAGCCATATAGTTATGTGGATACGACTTTATATACTTTCTATGCAGGATAATGGTTCTAGCGATTATATTTAATATCATATCCGTAGTACATATATGCAGCACATCAGTGGCGTTAATTCCAGAACATTGCGTGAAATGCAGAAAAAAAAATATGGTAACCAAAAAGTGATATATAAGTATGTATGTTTAGTGTTTACTAATAACTTACTGGTTTTAAATATTTTTTTTAAATAATGACAGTGGCTAACTGTTGGCTTATTTTGTTTTAACATTTAACAGGAAAATTTGGATAACAAGTGACTAAAAGTTTAAGTAAATTTAAACAAATTAATTCAAATCAAATTAAACTTAAATTTTAACAATTTAAAAAAAACGATTTTTAGTTAAAAGCTGCAGAATATAAATAGTAAGACGAGGACGACATTTGACGGTTTCGTTAATGGCAATAGATTCACCCCTACCAAATCATTTAGTGATTTTCATACGTCGGATTTCACCGACCTCCATCCAACCATGACACCAGGGAGTCACCCAAGTCGCCAACGGGACAAAAATCGTATCTTAACGGCTAACACGCTATCTCTTTCACATTATTCACCGAGGCGACGCTTGAGATGAAAACAATTATGATGCATACGTATAATTAAGGCAGATTAGTGTCTTTTAGCCTCCAGTCGAATCTTGTATTATGTACGTATACTTTGATGAAATCGTTTAGTTTGGTTTTCACACATCAAGCGGTGTAATTTATAGTCATTATTTATTAATTAATGTTTCGCCGAAATATGTGCACACCTATACATACCTATCTAGTATTATATTATATCGACCTGTCTGTGAACTACATACACCAAAATAGTAAACCTTAACAAATTATGAGGTTTATTTTAACGGCGTTCGAGAATAAAACATAGTTCATTTTTATTCTTTCCAGTCGACTCGTATAATAATATGTATATTGAATCGGTCAAGTAAATTTAAGTTTATTTTTCTAAGTTAAATATTCTCACAATAATAGTTCTATAAATAAATTAAAATATTTATTTTCTTGTTGTGAGTGAACAATAGTGATATTATATCACACAGAAAAATAATATTTAAAACTACAAAAACGTGAAAAGAAATACATATTATAAATTTATACTTAACTACCTATACATGAGTATACTGGGTGGGTTTTTTTTTAAATTCAAACAAAACAATACTTTACAATAGTAATATGACAATAAATAGATTTGATGAATGAATAGATAATAAGCAGGGAGTGAAATAAAGTCCAATTATAATTTTGTCCAAATGGTAATATTTGTCCAATGAGATTTTTAGTCCAATACGACAATACTTGTTTTTTTCAATATTGACTTTAGTCCAATCAACATTGTATAATGTCTAAACAGTATATTATTATTAATTTAGTCTATTTGCCATAAATTTCCATTACATGAGTTGTATATAGGTACAGCACAATCTAGAAGAAAGGCGGATAGCATATAACTTTTCTAATTTGAATAATTTATTGTTTTTTTTTTGTTTAAAACAACGAAAAATACCACATGTTTTTTCACCGATTTGGTGGATTGGTTTTTATAGCACTTCGCATACATAAAGTGACAAATCAAGGGTTTTCACCCGTAATAATTAATATTGCATTCATGGGTATTGATTTTAAAATATGAATTATGTTTATTTAGTATAAATTATATTAATAAATTAAATAACATTTTTATTCTAAATTTGTTTCACCTCCATATGGATTGCGAATTGCTATGCATATTTTTAATTGGTATAATAGGTATAGCTAAGATAAATTCTAGTTTCGCTATTTCCTTTATAATAATATTATGCACATAGAGTCGGACTATCTGCACCGATTCCTAAACCCTGATATGATTAGTCTATAATGTATTTCTTTGGCGCTGGTGGTCTTATGCGAATTAAAAATAGAAATCGGACCTAAATACACTTTGGACATGATGAATGCATATTGAACTGTATTTACTGGACCTAACATCCTGAAAACGTTATACTTTAATATTACTGATCCTTGACACTCGCTTTCTCTCTATCTCTCATACAGCCAAACAGGGTGATTTTTTTATATTAACCAGATAATATCCAGAGATTATATTATTACACAGGTACGATTTAATGACAGGTTGAAAATTGAAAATCGTTTGATATTCTACAATTATGAAAAATCGTACTTTTGTTGAACAGACTATATCCGGCGATCGACAGATCAGAAGGAATATATGTCAGTTGGGGTTGGTATACAAGCATACCAAAAATGTTATTATTATGAATGTCGTTGAATTGAAAAAAATAAGAAGAAAAACTCACCTCTTCACGGCGGCGAGAAGAAAATATTTTCTAACTATATTCTGCATAATATTATGTAGACATGCAGCGTGTATATAAATGATGAATTAAGGCCCAGAGGAAACTGGAAAGTTATGAAGAATGCCGAGCGCGCCATTGGTATAGGTACCCACAAAAATCCCACCGCCAAATTCACGGTCACGGCTAGTCTATATATACACGTAGGTGGTACACTGAATTATTACAGAAACGAAAATGAGAAAAAATTCGTAAACGGATACCTTTCGGTATTATAATTATACCTATAATACGATAATTGGCGATATACATCTCGAGACGTATATTACATGCGTAATATCATAATATATTAGATAGTAGGTCACGTGTTCCGCACACACGTGACCCATTTATCCGGAAGAAAAAAAAACAGGTTTTACCAGAAATCTTCTTCGTCGGGACGTCATCTTCGCATTTCGTGTACGGTGTACAATATACGCGAGGTGGCGTCACGGCCACCTTCATATTTTCATTTTTCAGACATTGTACAGAGTTCGAACTTTAACCTCGCCACCTCAGATATAATAAAATGACTTATTTTTTTCGTCGATAACGCACACTTCAATGGTCGGGAAATGAAGAATATTAGACACAAATTTAAAAAAGCAAACGTTCGGCAGGTATCTAGGACTGTCGAGTAAGTATAAATATAGAATATGCATACCAATACGCAAACGCTCGTCAATGTGCGAATGTATAATATGGTGTCTTATCATTTTGAAACATTGACGCATTGTGTTGTCTTGCGGCATTTTGTTTTTTTTTATTCCCTCGATGACCCGAATAACGATGGCATTCTCAAGCCAGTGCTCGAACTCGTCGTGGTGAGTTTAGGTAAGTCGTGTTTTATTTGAAAATCGGCTACAAAATAATCGAATACCGTGATAGCAAAACGTCTCGGTTGCGGATAATATTATATAGGTAAAGTAGTATAATAATAGGTACTGCAGCCGCGGCCTAGCTGTCTTTGGGCAACGATGCATTATAATAATATACTCAATACTACCGTCGTCCAATTTACATATAGGTAACCGTGAAACGACTTTATGTCGTTGGCATTTCAAAACTCAAAGCGATTTTCGGTGAAACTATTTTCATATTATTATAGTATTATGTGGACGTGTGGAAATCGTGTATTATTTTTTATTAAGAGGGGCATATTCTTATTAGACATGTCGGAGTGGCTTAAAATAAAGAAAAAAACCGGTGATCTATATTTTAAGATAGCTACTTTCCGGTATGATGTAGGCTACATCATGTAGCAACGTAAGCACTGCGGTCTACAAACATATAATCTTAAAGGTATATCTGTTCGTTAAGAATCAAGCGAGTTGTAGACCTGCAGCCATCCGTCGTGGCCGTGACCATCGGAAAACACTAGTATACCATAAATGTATATATGACACGATATTTTACAAGTTCAAGTGCATTGCCGCCGCGATCTCCTAAAAATAAGTACGCGTATAATGTATATACATAATACACATGTTTTATTATACATAATATATGTATAAAGTGTGTAAATAAAATAAAGCATATGTATGTATGCAGGTGTGTATGTAAGTATACGTAATAGAGCCAAATGGTAATAACGTAACTCTAAACACCCGTGGCTGCAATTTCAGGAACACGTACACATTAATTAATTGCATTTACATTATATATTATCTACATATAGGTAACTGATTTTTAGCAGTGAAAAATACTTACCTATTGCAGACCTCCTCGTGGAGACTTTAACGCTGTCTGTATAGCTATGTATACTCGATATTGTTACCGGGGAATACTGAGAACGGTCTTCCGGACACGCGGTATCGTGTGATACTCAAAAATACAAAATAGGTAGGTTTATACTTATCCTAACAATAGGGAAGGATTATATATCAACAAGGTACATATATCAATATATGTATACATATATATATATATATATACATACATTTAACCCGGTCGGCGGAAGTACACGAATCGCGTTCGTGAGAAAATCTCATGTCTATATTATATACGTATAATATCGTGTACACGAATACACCTATATTATATTAGACTACGCATTTACGTTATGCCAATAATAATATATTTAAGTGTATCAGGACTTCGAAGACTCGGCGAGGAAACCGTAGTCCATATTAAAATATGCCATATTATGTGTGTATTGTGTATAAATTATGTGAATGGATTTATCAACTTGATTTATAATATTGTAAATTGTAGTATTATATACATGTCTATTGTATGTTTGTATATGTGTGTAAGCAGTGGCCTAGCAGTTAAACTGTGCGCCGTTTTCGTGTGTGTTGTTTGGTGTATCATTATATTTGTATAAGTTTTCATCGAGACAACGATACGGCCGAAACGGTGCTAATTTCCGTCCCTCACTTTTCCCGATCACGCTTTTCTGTTATATTTGGTTCACATTTGATTCAGTGCTCAAGTCGAGCTGGAATAAGTGATACAGTATTTCATAAACTTTTATTTTTAAAAGGTATAATTAATGTTATTGAGATATATTAGTACTGTTATAGTATTATGAACAGTTTATAATACAATATATATTGTTATAAATATTTTTACTAATTACTGAATGCATATAATTATAATGTATAATCCTTATCTCACTATATTTTTAAACTGTTTGGTTTATATTTTTATTTTCCACATAATATAGTTGGTGGACACAGCAAAAAATAAATAATGGTTATTATTAATTAAATACTTGGCAATTCTCTATTATTTAAAAAAGTTTTGCATAGAATTTTATCTTCCGCATATTTTATTCTTAAAATTTTTAAATTACGTGTAATTTTAAATAGTTAAAATATTATATCAGCGGATATTAAATTTAGATGCAAAGGGGATCAGAGTGAGTCGATGGTGGTCTTGACCCCTTAGAAGTTAGAAATGTACATAAATGTATATTTTTTTTAGAATAATTATATTTTAAATAGTGTACAGAAAATGCTAATTTATACATTCAGTGAAAGTTTCGTGTATCTACGATCATTTGTTTTAGAGTTACACCAAAATCAAAATAGATTCTGTCAAAAATGTTTGTTTGTTTTTCCCTGTACTTTTGAAAACTATTGTGGATTTTAATTTTGACCTCCCAAGCGCACCAACTAAATTTAATTTCCCACCGGAAAGGATACTGAAGTTGAAAATCGAAGTATTATATCGACTAATTACTAATTAGGTACCTAGGTACTTATAATATAATATTATTATTGTATATACACGTTCTAACTACCCAAGTCCAGTCCAAAACTTTCGTTCTTCTGTAGGAGACGTTTTTTTTAATTGAAAAAGTGCAGTGTTTATTTTATTACATAGCCGTATTTTACAAGAATACGGCCGTTGGGAGGGCGTGGCCCTTCGCCCCCCCTCCCATATCTCGGACACGTCATTGATAATGATAAATGATACACAATGATATGTTATATATACGCACCTATGATCTTGTGCTGTCTGTGCGTCAAGTGGTTGCTTATCATACCGCATATGTGGGCTCCAAGACTGTGGCCGACGCAGTGTATGTCGTACGCCGATGCCCCTGAATAGGTGAGGTGGGCGTAAAACTGGGCCGTGCACTGGGCTACCAGCCTGGTATTGCTCAGCGAAGACAGGTAACACGGGAAGAATGTCAGCGGCTCCCAGTCCACGGTAAACACGTTGTAGTCTTTTCGGTTCAGGTACGCTGCGGCACAAGAGTAGTTTTATTAGGTTTATTGTACATATGTAATCAATTTGAGGAAGGTTTTAATTTATAATTTAATAATTAGCTAAAACTAACTCTATTTTTGAGATGGATCACCGTCCCGCATAGACGATCATTTGCTATTAGGGTTTTAAAATTACATTTTTGAAATATTTCGACTATTACCATTCTCTTATATACGCGAATGCCTACTACATTATACGATACAACCATTGTAAGTTATAGGTACACCTATAACAATACGACCGTGAAAAACAACACTGTCGATCAGCATAAATTATTATATTTATGATGGCTCTTAATGATAAACTACAATAGACGCCGGAAAGTATAATACTATCGCATACAATATTATTATATTTTATTATATGCCATCCACGGATGAGTTGAGATTTTGTCACGTTAAACGTGGCGGCCGAGTTGCTTGTGAGTTGGACCTTAGATGCACTGCGACCGGACGTCGGATGATGAGGATGAAACCGCGTTATGTCAGTCACGACTGCTTACTATACCAAGGTATACATAGATGGGTACTGTACGGTCAAAGATAAGTATAAACGTATAATACGCACGGGCTGATCAAAGAAATGTTCATGCTTGAATAACGGTGGGGGTTTTGTAAAAATCGTAAACTCTAGTATCAATGCAGTGTTTTATTTTAAAACTAGAAAACACAATTCTTAAGAGCAGGATGTCAGCTCACTACTTTTGATTTTCTCTCTTTGGACCACGTGCATTGATATCCAGAACAATAAGCGCATTCACGCAAAATCATTTTTCTTTTCATAAGTAATTTAATGTCAAATCACCTGTTAGAAAAAATATAGATACTAATATTTTTGAGGTAATTAAGTATAATTTTTCGATTTGTCTAAATAATTTGTTTAAAACAATTAATTATATTATCCATTTAAACATACCTAAACAAATTTTTAAGTTGAATATAATTATAAACTATAAAGCCTTTGTCAAACCCTCCAAATTATTATCCTCTATATGATATTTTTAATGGATGATTTTACTATAAGCTTGCTCAAAAATCATAAAAAACGATTTTACAAAATCGCTACGTCACTCGATTGATAGCCTGAGAGATAAAACAAATACTGCGCTGACGTCCTCATATACTGCAATATGGTCCTTTGAAAATGCATAATAAATATGAAAGCCCATTACAAATCCTTTACTCTTCTTGTTATCACAATTTCATGAAGAATATTATGTTGTTTTGGCTCTAGGAAATAGACGAGCATAATGCGAAATTTGCCTCCGCATGACTGCAATTATTTGAACATTGCTATAGTTTTATTTTTAAGGAATTTTATTGGATTTGATTTTATAGTTTCTGTCTGATCGCTCAAAAAATAAAAAATGTTATACATTTCGAATTGTTCACAAAATGTATGATAATGTTGTGGTATATAGCAACAGGATAAAACTGTTGGAATATATTTTAGAAACCGCACACGATTTTATTAAAAAAAACTCACTAAGTCGTGACAACTTTGCCTTTTGAGTTAACCGCGATCTCCGCAGTAGTTAAGACACACATCGGTTGAAGTTTTTTTTTCGAAAGCCTATTATAATAGTGCGTAAATAATATTATAATATTGTCACGATCGAATTTTGAACATTACACTATTTTGCAGAGTATATACTGCACCTGAAGGCGAGTGAAGCGAGACAAGTGACTGTGTTATTATGCTTAGGAATCGCGCCGTCCACTTTTTAATTAAAATTACATTCACCAACTTACTATAAATAAAACTGGACGGCATAACTGTTCATTAAAATACTGAATGTATATATAATAATATTATTATCATTATTATTTGTCGGTTTTAAAAACGATTTCGTTTGCAATGTTTGCATTTTGCGGTGAAACGTTAAAATAATTATCCGTCTACGTAGGTACACATCATACGTAAACTGATAGAAAAGCTTCGTTAATAACAATAATGATAATAATAATAATGATGATGATCGTGATAAAAGTAATAATAATCATAATATAACAACATAGTAATTTAGTATGGATCACTAACCGTTTCTGATGATTGTCATCGGGGTCTTGCTTTCTGTTCCGTTAAACCCGTGAATAATGATGACGTTTTTTTTGCTAGGATCCCAACCGCTGTACCGAAGTGTGTTCTTGTTACGAACATCGATCAATTTTTTTCGTTTAGCACCGCTGTAAAAATGTTCAATATGTAAATTCCGGGATATTATGACTTCGAATGCATTTTTTACAATTATTACAATGAAAATATTTTCGAATATCTATTCTATAAATAATTAGTCAAAAATAAAGCTATTTTGTTGTTCCTTGTCTTATACCATTTATATTAGCACATGGAGTAAGACGTAAGTATATCATTTAGCGATTGTAATATTATTATGTTTTATGTATATAGCATAGAACGTAAGTTGTGACTTTAATTGATGTAAGTTCAAATATTATTGAGCTCTACTCAAAAAATTAATCAGTCACTGGATGCCTAGCACATGTGAAACATGGAAAATTATGGTTATTGAAAGGATTCATAATTAAAGAAAACCAATAAATAAATATGGAGGAAAATGAATATATACTATTATTCTTATTAAAAAAATAATACATTCAGAATATAAATACAAGACAAATACATAGTATTTTAATATTTTTTTGTTCAAGAAATATATGTTGTCGAACGTCATAGCTCATATTGATTGAATCATTATTGTTGCAAAACTACAAATCATTAATATTATTGTTATTTTGTTGTTTTTTATAAATGGTTGACATTAGTTACTAATGTATTATTATTTATTTTGTGCCATGCCCGGCAAACGGCATGACATACGCGATTCGGTCTTGCCCCCGGGGATGTCAATAGATGTTTCACATAAAAAAAATATTTATGTAACTAGTTCTTGAATTAGGAAAAAATTAGAAAGGAGATGGAAAATGTAAAAATATGAGTGTATCTGAATATTTGAATGTCAGATTGATTAGGGTATAATTAGAACTGGTACCTACGCATAAATATTTTCGAAAAAAAGCGACTCCTCCCCTCCCCACCCCGCGTAATCCCTCAATTCAAACACTGGTATTATACGATAGGTTAGTATACAGTAGTTGTATTCAAATTTTGTTTGCTCTAAGAATGCATTAGTACAGGGTTTCTCAAACTTGTATAGACACTGTACCGTCTGTACCTCTTTTTACCAATACAATTTTTTGGGTACCCTTTCTAGGTTACTAAAATATATAAAAAAAACTTTTCTCCGTTTAAATTTAAAGGTTTGTTGGTGAGAATCGTACCCCCTAAAAAATGTTGAGTACCCTTAAAGGGTACGAGTACCACAGTTGGAGAACCACTGCGTTAGTACATTGAGTGCGAGTTACATTACAGCTCATCTGACAAGGAACCGCAAAAACAGATCTATGATGAAATGTTTTTTCGGTGCAGCGGAGAAAATATAAAGTATCTGATCGAATACGAGTATCTCAGACTTTTAAAATTGTGTTGCAGGCATTGGGATGTTTTAAGTGAATATCAGTACATTATTAATATTTAATTGATTTATTTTCTCTTTGGCCCTCCCACGCTCGACATGGACATTTTGGGTTCAACATAACCAAGTTGTTAGCTTTAATATTAAAGTAAATTGACCTGTTAATCAAACATAAAGTTAAGAAAATTATCTGGGTTTGTATTTTTTTTTACTAAGTTAAAATTTTCATTTTAGTTTTAAGTACGGTGTCCAATTTAAAAAATCATATCTTGAAAAAATAAAATTGAACTATCGTAAAAAATTCAAAGTACAAACACAACATTATATTATTGAGATTAAGTTTGATTCTCAGCCTCTCAGGCCATTCCACTCTAATATTGAAGCTAACAACAAAACATAATTGGTTCTGCTGCTGAACTTATATGTTCCAAGTTGCACATGGACCTGCTCAGAGAGAGAGAGAGAGAGAGAGAGAACAAATATAGAATATAGTGCACTATTACATCATCCTTTCAAGGTATATTTATCGTTTATATTTTGTTCAACGAGTTTCGGTTACTTATAAAACAATATGTGTGACAGCGACTGTAATATATTATATCAATTATCAGTCATTGGTTTATTTCAATATAAGTTCAGTTATTTCAAAGCAACGCAGTCAGCCGCGAGGACTGTAATTATATAGCAATCACGAATTACATTGACGTTTAAACAATTTAATACATCTGCGATCTGTTTTTGTACTCGCTTCTTCAACGGTGGTTTATACTTTTCTTGACATTCTTTAAAAATGAATAGAAGATTTTGTACAATTTTCGTACAATATGCTTCAACTGTGAAATCGCAATGCACGCCGTATATAATTATAATTATACACGAGAACGGAGTCTCTTGTCCGATAAAACAATGGCAATTTCTACAATAAATAAATAATGTCTAATTGGTATTAATAATAATTATAGACGATAAAAATGTAGGTTTTTAGTTGTTTTCTCAATATTATACTTTCTAAAAATAATATCGTCGACTGTGGTGTTTATTAGGCTTTCAAACTGCAGTACAACGTTTTTAGATTATAGCTTTATTTTATTTTTCAGGAATACTCGAAAGATTTAGTTTGACTATTAACATTATAATATAATTAATAAAATATTGAAGTTAATTCCGTTAAATTTCAGTAGTTGCAAAATGTTCATTTGTTCAAGAAAGACAAATTATAAACCAATCGCTTTGCTGGCGAATAATATCTTTTTATATTTTATTATATACAAATATCAAAATCTGTATATTTTAAATACTATATGTGGTATGTCTATATATTCATTATACAGGGTGTTCCAAATTTTGTGTGACAAAAGACAGATCTGTCCCGTAAGAACCAGTGTAATCCCCACCATTTTTGTCACCCGAAATTTGGAAGACCCTGTATATATAAAATACAAAATATGTATCAAATAAAAAGCGTTATTTTGTTAAAATGAATTGTATATAGCCTATTCTAATGACACTGCTACAATTATTGATAACTGATAAGTGATTAAAAAATTGATTACACAACGATATTTTATTATTTGTTCGTTTGTACTTGTGTCATATTTGAACGATAAAATTCAACAAATCAGCAAAACAATATTGTACGTTCATATTAATTTAATTGGATTAAAGTTCAGCTACAGTAGGTGCAACGGAGCATATCTCAGCACCAGCTACGCATAACACTGGAGTCCAATGGGGGTATAAGTGTATTTTCGTTAATATTGAAATTATTTTGTTAAATAAATGATAATGTGAACATTTTTTAATCGTGTGTAAAACGTACATATTAAAAGTATTAGTGTGACATGATATTTGAAAGTGACTTAATTTTTGTTCGTATACGACGATTTAAAAAATGAGGTGGCAATGCAAGTGAGGCACCTATACAACAATGTAGTTACACTCTACACTCAAATTCAAATTTTTTTGTTTTTTTCGTCACCTGCAGCGGAGGAGTTCCAAGTAAGTATACTGAGAATCTGTACAGAATTGGAAACCGTTTTTTCTGCAGCAGTGTCCGTTATTTTCACGGAACTGTGTATGGTACTCGGAAACCGACGAAAGTATATAATAAATAAGTAAACAATGTCACTCTCGTTTATATGGATCGCAGAGTGATTGATTTGTTACACTTCTTCGATCACACAATGCACTCCAAACGAGAGGTGTTTATTGATTGCACACGAATATAATATCATTTCAATAGCGTGAAATGACAGGATCGGATTTTCCGCAGTTGACGTCGTCGGGTCGGCACAATATAATATAATGTGTATATATATATATATATATTATATCGTACATACGCGTAATCTAATTGGCTGTATGTCTGTGTCAATGTATACAATGTTATACTATTACAAAGTCTCATAAAAATATTTACTTTTTAAAAAAAAAAACAGCCTGGACATTATGTTGAATACACAATATAACGTGAAGTTAACAAACACGTACCACCTATGTTTACACGGTGTAATCGTTTTTTATTAGGTTTTTTTTAAACTTTTTATTTGAGGTATACCTATTACAAAAATCTAAAATGAAATGTTATAAACGCGCACGATGGTTGACTTTAAGCTACAGAGTACTTACGCGTTTAGGTTGTCGAGCAAATTTCAGAGAACGGTGTACAACAGCGGTGCCGCGGTGGTTGTTATGTTGTAAATATTTTGCTCATATAGCACTTGGAAGGGAAGGGGGGAGTTAAGTGAGCTATAGTTTTCTGTTATACCTCCTATGACACAGCCATAAGGTAAATTAAATAATATGACGTTAACTCTTTATATTCTTATACCAAGTAAACCTGTAAACCAATCATTGTTTTATCTATGATGTAAGATTCATTCACTAGGTATCAATAATCTAACTATCTATTTATATTTGATTAACAATATTATGTTTATAATATTATTTTTATTTATTTATTTATTTAGTCATATTATTGTTTTTTGTGGTCTGCAGATGGACATTCAGGTTGAAAAATATTTGTCACAACCGTATTCAATTTAACTCAATTATTGAAGTCATTATTTTATCCCATTATAATTGGGATAAAACAAAAACGTCCGTACCACATAACTGTAGACGTGTTTATAAACGTATTATGCTCAACCAAGTATCAATATTGTTTTATACACAAAACATAATAATTTGGGTTTTTTGAAGTAAGTTAAAGTAATTTTAAATAAAGCCCTTCACCTAGTTTGAAAGATTCGAAACTTTTGAGATCGAACATAATTACTATGCAGCCTTTGTTGCATGATAATATTAAAATGATTTTTAACAACTACGCTTAGTTAACATAATATACGTATCAACAATTTTCTAAGGATTTGATTGGTTTGAATGTACTTATTGCCTTGAAAGTGCAGATATGTTATTGGTAAAATTAACTAGTAATGTTGGATATTAATTTTTACATTATCATCAACTTACCTGGAATACAAAAATATTTTGATATCCATGTCTGGACATTGATCCGTTCTTTTCATGACACATTGCCAGTAACTCAGATTTAATACGTTCTGCATTAGGCATAATGACACTGAAACAAAAAATAATAAAAAACGTATATTATAATTAATGGTGTATTTAAACAAGCGTAATATGAATAAAGGATAAAATATTTTACGACTTAGAAATTTAAAAAAAAAATACCAGAACGTGGGAAAATAATGATTTTAAAACAATTTAACTCTCTGTGAGCGTGCTATATTCCCGGTATCCAAACTTACTTAAGCAAATATAAGCTATTAATATCCATGATCAATTTGAAAGAAAATTGTTTGACTTGAAACTGACTTAAAAACCAAAAAAATAAAAATCTAAATTTTTTTACAATTGACCTGTCATTTTTAAAATCATATTAAATCGTTCACTAATATTTCAGTATTTTATAAGAATTGCTATGATATGAAATATTTATAATATATTATTAATAAATCTATTAATTTTGTTGATTTAATCCGGTTCGTATTAATTTCAATTTTTTCCATTATAGTTAAACATGTTTTCCGTTTTTAGGTTTTCTAAACATAAGTTTTGAACACCGTATTGCGTCCGTCCATCCACCCGACCGGTTAGTTACCAGTTCATACCTGTAGATTGTTGATATTAAGCTTAGGATATTTATTTATTGCTAGTATGAGTAGTTACTGTACATATAGTCACAAATTACAATTGTCTGTGTTGAGATATTTAATTATGATTTCTGGTATTTAGATAATTACTTATTGTATATGTAATTAATATAGCCAAAATATACTACCAACATATAACATTAAGGTGTCCTAACCTTCAAAGTCTGTTTAAATTGTACTTGGAATAATTATGTGTTATTACTTTGTGATAAAATACGTTTAGAATTTTCTTAACTGGCTTTAAATCATCAATTACAATTTTTAATGATAAATAAACCTTAAACACTGCAGATATTGGCAACTGGTATAACCACAGGAACGCTTAGATCGGACGGATTAATATACAGGCATACAACAGGGATTTAAGTGGTTAATGTCATGTTTAGAAACTAAAACACAGTCTCCCTCCGACGGTGGTCGAATTATTATATAATAGTTCTGAGCACAGTAATAAACAAATAGAGTCTGTTTCTATTTATTTTTCTATTTAAAAGCATTTTAATATTTTATTGATTGCATTTAAACGTACATAGAGCTATCAACATTAAATTGAACTTAAGTACAATATTAAATTAGTGAAATTGGTAAATCATAAAAATCGGATGATATTTGCACAAAAAATGATTTCCATACATATGATGTTTTAGTAGTAGGCGGAAGCATGTCAACTTATTTGCATTTGCATGCGTTACATATATAACTATTACAAAAATATGTAAAAACGTATCACGTGTGTTTGATTCGTTTATGTAATACAAATTATAATCTAAGCAAACGATTTGAATAGGTGCCTACTTATAAAATATAATATAGCGTAGACCATGAAATCGTTTATAACACTGCTGAAGACAATATTACATAGTTGACAATGCGAGAACACAATATTAATAATACTATGATGGTGAAAAATAAACTATAATGAAAAGTAGATGTACCCTACGATTTTTTCCAAAAAATATCTACAAATAAACCTCTAACATCCGTATAGAGCTGCATGTGCCTCTGTGGTTCGCATAATGCAATAATAATTGATATACATATTTTAATTTATATTTATAAATTAATAATGTGCGTTTTTGTTGTACCAACCATCATGGCCTTACCTGCGTCTTCATGGATGGGTAGGTAATAATAATATAATTTTGTTATTATTGAGATCCGGATGTTGAGGACTTTTGCTACTTTTTTTGGAACATTATAGACTATGCTTTCCAAGCTTCAAATTTGTTTTAATAACATTCAAATTTATATTATAACCAATTTTTATTTTGCACTTTTTTTTTCGTTATAGGTCATTTTTTTCCTTTTTATTAACAATTAAGAGAAAAATTGAGAGTTAATTATTTGTTATTAATTTATTACTCATTATACCTCCTCACCTATTATATTCTTATATTTTCAATATATTTTTCAGAATGTTCATGCATGAATATTACCATTAAACTTAATTTAATTTTACTATATATTACGAAAATTACTTAAAACACATTTTTTCCATAATTTTCTAGATTAAAAATGTCAATCAAAACCAAGTTTATTTTTTAAATTGTAATTTTTACTATTTAAAATTAATAAGTAATTTTATGATCGTTTTTTAAGTATACATAGGCTATTACTTATAAATATTATGCACCGTTTTTACTCGTTGGGGCATTATTATAGGTTTTTTTAGGGCATCAACATCCGGGCCCTAATTGTTATACATCCGCCGCCTACCGACAAGCTATTTGAGTCAGTAGGTGCTGACCTATAATAGTATAACTACTATCTATATTATTATCACACGGATACCATCGATACTTTCCTAAAACAAAAAATCTTTCCGTCGTTCGGAGAATTCGGCTGATCTGTGGTTGTATGTATCGTATGTTTTACCGCCATCACACTCACCGAAATATAGGTAATAATGTAATATAATACTTTAATATGATATTCACATGTACAGGGTGATTTACCCAGCACTCTAATTTTTTCCTTATTTTATAATTTTTAAATAATTATAGATGTTTAAAATTTTAAACACTGTACTTACTTAAAAGTTCTTGAGATTTTTAGTACCACTCTGAGCCGATGAAATCTTCTATTCTATACAAAGGGAGACAACTAGCCAATTTTTTATTGAAAATTATTTTTATTTTATGACCAACATTAACCTTAGTACACAAGTAGACAGCTCAAAAACTACTCGTGCGATTTTTGATTTTGTAACAGAAGTTTGTACCTCTACAGAACGCTTATTAAGTAGCACAAATAAATCTCAAGCATTTAAAAATATATAACATTCAAAAGTAATTATGTTGGAATTTAAAAATTCCAATTATTAGATTTTCAGTAATTGAATTGTTGGTTTATAAAATAGGGGTGAGTATGCTTTGTGTATCACTCTGTACAGCACACGATAAACGAGCGCCGTAATGGACGCGAGATAACGAGTTTAAAAAAAAAACCACTCGTCTCGTTGTAGTGTTTTAACGATCGCCTCTGTATATTAATGGTACCTACACTTATAGTCATATGCCTACTGGTACCGTGGTTAGAGTAAGAAGGTATAGGTATGATAATAATATTATGATTCCAATTTCGAGCCAGAACTCATTACGCCCAAGAGAACTGCAATCGTACGACAAACTAGAGCGCGACTTTTGAAAACCAACACAATTACCATTGTGGCTGCAGAGCCCACAAGCGTAGCGTGATGAATTTGTGTGTAGAGGGAGGTCGGATGCTAAATATTATGTCTATAATACACAAATAATATTTCAGGTAAACGATATGATATTATATTTCTAAATATGTGTATTAAAACTTTTTTTCAACTCTAATCAACAATAGTTATATACAGTATACTTCCTAATACTGAAATGTATTAAAAATAAAGGAAAATATAATTGTATGATAACTTTTTCAATTCTTTTCTATTTGGTTATTAATAGAAGCAGGTGGATTTGAATGTCTTGTAGAAGGTGGGGTAGATATAACTTGGATTTAAGTACTAAAAGTCTAAAATAATATCAACGGTTTTTTAACTATAGTTTTTTACATAGCTTAATCTTTAGTCATAACACAAACTAGGTACTAAATATACATAAGCTAAATACTAAAAATGTGTATTTTTCAAAAACGCTGTTTTGGGAAGATCTTTTAAAATTATACAAAAAAAATATTTCCAAGTAAAGTACCTACGCACATTATACTTTAAAAGAAACTGAGTGTTAACCTTTAAAATAAACACTATGTTTAATATCAGCGCACATTTCCGTGATTTTGATTTTCATATTGATGGACTAATTTAAATGTATTTTCGTCAAATATTCCGATTATACATATTTTTTAAATTAAAATAATAATTGTGAGTAATTATAACAGACTGACAAAAATGTTGTAATTTTATACACAAAAGTTGGAAAAAAAGTTGTATTTTTTTATAAGATATATTATATTATAATGTTTTAAACATTTTTTTCAAACTATTCATTAATATTTTTTTCTAAATCTTATATAAAAAATTAATTTCACAAATTTAAAAAAAAATAGTTTTTCATTTTTGTCAATTTTTAGCGTGTTTTAATATTGTGCATATTAGTGCATTTTTAACAGTTTTGATTGCATTCAATTCACAATATTATTGATTAAATATTATAATGACGTGTCACGTATTTAGCAGTGAGTATAATAATGTATAATATTATACAATTATACGAAAGAATTGTTTTTTTTGGATTTTTTAACCGAAATCGAGAAAAAAATGATGACTTTATAATTTGAATGAACACATACTTTGTTGGCTTGGGATATTTCTTAAATCCGTAAGCCCCTTTTTTTGTTACATTTTTTATCAGCTTGCTATATCATATTTTTTTTGTGGTGACATTAATCGTTATTATGATGATTGATGACGAAATAGTACCTAAATAATAATAGTATTTGTATAACCACTGAACAAAAACCATTACTCAAAATTCTAGAAAACACAAAATTGTGTTCATGATTTAATAAATATTATATCTTACTCAGACGAAGTTGTTAAGTTAAGTTTTTTTTCGTATCTCATCGTCTATAAACGGCAGATGTGTTATTTATTGAATAATACTCCCGGGACCAAAATTAGTGTCCACTTTTCGGAGGCTGCCGCTGAGAGACGACGCGTACATAGCTTTGTTTTGTATAACTTGAAAGATTAGCACGTGTTGTCAACGCATTTATTACTGTGCTAGACGAGACAACCTGTTACATGTTCTAAATTCTGATGGACATCGCAGTTCAATCTTCTGGTTACACGCACTCACATGGCCGTAGGCTATATTTTCTATACTTATTATTTTTAGCTTATATATTTTCTATTTTAATTTTAATTTTAATTAGGTAAGATAAAAAATAAAAACTGACAATATATACTAACATATTC